GTACGTAGGACAAACAGGAAGGAAGCTCTCCACCAGAATACATGAACACAAACTCGCCACTAAAAGACACGATCAATTCTCCCCCATCTCCGCACACAAAGACCAAGAAGGACACGAGCTCGACTGGAACGGCGTTCGCAGACTGGCTCAAGCAAGAACAAAACGAGAACGCGAATTTATGGAGGCGTGGCACTCCACCGAAGAAGCCATCAACAAACGCATCGAAATTGATCCCATTTACCAGCCACTAAGAGCGAGAGAACGCCAGAACCACAGAACTTAGAGCTGCAAAAGCGACCATACGAGGAACTCATACACGAAACAAGAAAGCGTCACTCAAACGGACACATCAATTGGATTGGAGGCGCCCAATCAAAGCACCAAATCAACCGGCGGACGCAGGGACACTAACCGCCACGGCGGAGGAAATAGGGCGGTACAAGCAACCAATCAAAGTCGAGAACGGCAGACCACAACGCAATACGAATCAAGGCCAGAGAGAACAAGCTACTAAGAGTAGAAGACGTTGGGATAACCAATCAACACAAAGGAACACAGACCACAACGCAACAAGGATCACAAACGGATCAATAGATTTACTAGACTCGTTACACTTCAGATAGCCAATCACGTCAGAGGATAACAGATAGCCTTTGACTGCTATATAAACACACGCAGGCAAGGAAGAAGTACCCACCGAACTGCGCACTGATGTCTCCTCGTATGGTGACGAAACGTTTGCAAGCCAATTGCCAAGCTCGGCGAACAGCTCAACAGCCATCTGATCAACAACCAATAAACTCATCCGAGCTACCAATATTTCACCACATTACCAAGTACAACAGACTGCTCTTGAAGGTACATGTAAGCTGCGCTCGCTTTCCATTAATGTATGCACCCTGCCTGAAACGAGGGTTCAAGATCCGAGCATGGTTGAGAACTGACATCCATATCGGTTTGCTGGCACACCTCTGATGATCCACAAGCCGTTGTGACTGGTTCTGCTGGAGTTGGTATTGATCTAAGCCACCGAGGTGAAGGGGCTCTTGTTGAATGGTTGTCCGTTGATAGTCAGCCTTGTATCACTTATCTGGTGATGTTTGTGAGAGTACGCCGCCAAACTCGCAACATTCTCCGCCTGTTTATCGTTTCAACTGACTGTATGCTCAGATATTGCTGTATCTACGAGGGTATGAATGCGAGTTTCATGCTTCTGGGGAGCCTTCGACTACCCGAAATGGATCATCCAAAACATCCCAATTAGAGCAAAGAATGATGAAACGAAAACGACGACACTCACTGGAAGGGTAGGTGTGAGGGTAACATGATCATTTCCACGGTAATTAAGCGTATGCACGCTCTGCTATTTCAATGCATACCACAATGGGTGAATATCGATCCGTATGGTATCGCTAACAATCGTTATATTATCGATCTCAAAGTGGGGATAAGAAATGAAAAACCAAAGTTTACATACTGTATGTAAAGTATTCTTAAAGTAGTGGCTACTATCCTAATAAATAGCTTTTCTGTACAGCTTTATGGACTCGAGGAAAACCCTGAGACCAAATGCAACTCACCTACCTTGACCTTTATCAGAAGACATTTTTTCAACTAATTACCTCAAAATGATCAACACCGTCAGTTACTCAGTGGGATCGGTTACTGATCTTTACTATGTTGATTTTATGAGACTTGATACTCAGGACAAGTACAAGGATGGTGGAAAACCTGCAAGTATCAAACACATGTGCACGAATCATAAACCTATGTTATGGTTTCACTTAAGGTTCCACTTGTGAACCTAGTTCAAAACGTTAGAACCCACTTGTTTGTGATTAAACGGTGTGAGGCCACGCCAGCATAAATCGAGTAGAAACGTGCTGATGTACAGATCATAACAACAGGTTGTATTGCCGACTGTCTACACTCAAGCAGAAAAGAAACAGCATACTTAAGGGCAAAGAACGACCAAACAGGTCAATGAAGTGGGATTCGAATTTAACAATTCGATGTATCTATAACTGTCTCGGCGGGACAGTAAAACAAATACACAGATATTAACATAATAGGGGAAATGGAAAGGGACCGTTGATGGAAAACATAGCTGTAGTACCAACAGCTTTACTCTGAAGCACATTTCAGGCAAATGGGGCAAGCCTAGGCAGAATACTCTAATGTATAATTTGCTACGGCATTGTCTGTTGTCGTGTACTCCCGTTTTAAGACGTTAAGCAGGTGGTAAGAATGCCTACAAACCACTGATGTTCTTGATGGTTGTCAAAGGTGGTTAACAGAAACCAGAGAATATAAAAAAGTGGGAATTCCGGGCGCTTCCAAAGGATATTTCACTAAGGGGACTCAAGACAGCTACACGGTCAAAAATTAATGTCCTTACTTCCCGGTGGATATAAATAGGACCGAAGGTATTCTCACACAAAGAAAGATTCCCCTACCTCTGCACAACCATGTGTCGATTACTCGTTAAGTTTAGGGAAGTTAATTTGGTGATTTTATCGCCCATTGCACATCCGTACCTACAAGTAATACCTATGAGTCATACATCTAATCAATCTGAAACACAGGATGCACACTTTTGTCCTTTTGTGGATCGAAAACACTATATTGAGGCACTATTAAAAATAGTGCCGCTTGATACGATCGTTTGAAGCATATCGAATTGGACGGTGGTCATAAACTTTTCAAGCTATTTTCGAAAGGTGTAGGAATTTTGAACGTGGCGGATGTGAAGTAACTACGGATACCTCGGCAGTGCGGAAGTTAGTGGTGGTGCCACAGCCAAATAGATGTATAAATATACTCAGCTACCTAGGGAGGTTGAACGGTCTCAAGTTCAATGATAAGGTGAAGGGTAAAACAGCCAGTTGCCATGTCACCTGACAGCTTGGTATAAACGTGTAGGTGTGTGAGGGTAATATGGTGCTTCATCCAAAAAAAACCCGGCATTTCCACATTTATGGACACAGCAATGCTCCTTTTTCCCTTGGAGAGAAATAATTACTATCAAGTCTGATGGGGCTTCAAGCGCAACCACTTTGTGCAAGGACATCGAAAATCCCTGTGCCCCAGGTTATGCTAGCTTCCCAACCATGAATCACACATATACAATCTCATGCCACATCGACCGTCGCGAGTCGCGATCAGCCAGGTCACCCGACCTGCTGTGTACAGTAGGGTGGGTAAACTGATACCGACGCCTCCCTTCTTTCTCTCGCATATTCGCTCTTCTCTTCCTGCTCACCGCGTTGCCAGACACTTCGAATTCAACTTTCAAAACCTGACGCTTAGTTAATCCGACATCGCTTAAGGTTCGCACACTGAAACTCGCTTTCCACTGATCTGTCTGGAACAAGGACTTGAGGTAGTGAACTGTTTCCAGTTTCCACTCTCTTCTGGCTGCATATTTCCCGTGATTCAGAAGATGCTGTGACTGGGGTTGGTATAGTTATGAATCACTGAGATGAAGGGTCTCTGATGCACCGGTTGCCTGCTGATGGTCGACTCTGTAGTTTGTTTGACAATCTGTGAGAGTATCTCGCAAAACGGGCCGATAATTGTCTCTTCATCGTATTTGCTTGCACCCCAACAGACTACAGTTCTGATAGTCAGAAACAGCGTCTTCGAGACATTGAGAGCCTTATTGCGGCGGACCAAGACTCAGGTATTGTTGTATTTGTTTGGGAAGTTAATATGCAAGTAGGCAGACTTAGTGGTTCTGGGGCTTAATTAGGTAGTTGTCTGCGAATGGGATTGAGATGCACGGACGATGGCAAACGGCTGCTGCAGTTATGTGCTGACTACAAACTGGCTCTTTGCAGTATTAACTTCTGAAATAACCAAAGCCAATTGGCCACACGGTGTCTTTCGCATGCAAGCCAACATCCAATACAGATGGACCACATTGATATTAACTACAGGTGCCCATTTTTCAAAAGAGTACTCGCAATGTGTGGTGATCACGTTGTAACCAGTCTCTTTACATCGCTCATCTCACTCCGCCTTACGGTGTGTGGAGAGTAAAACCAAAGAGGAAATAGGCAGAGAAGACGCTCTATAATCTTGGTGTTTTTGACTTCACGGGTGCGCTCAGCTACGTCTTTTCAACTGGGCATACCAAAGAAGTTCATGAATACAATGCGCCGCTTGTATTCACATACTTGTGGGCGTGAGACAGTGTATCGGAAGGTCTCTGAAAGCTGTGGTGTCAGACAAGAATTTGCACACTTCATCTTCGTTTAACTTCGCCACTGATGAGTGAATGAGGCGAACACTAAAAGGTCCCCAAAACTCCGGTGTTCGGATTTGTCCGAGCGACAGCCTTGTCGACCTGGAGTATGTAGACGAAACTATGTTCACTTTTGAAGAACAAGAAGCGCAGGTATTATTTAAGAGGCTAACAAGGGTCATCTAGTCAATCGGCACGGGCTTCGCGCCCACAATGTGCAAAGTCGTGCTATTGGCCTACGGTCGTTCAACATACCTCTCAGAATTCAAGGAGTAAAGTTGAAGACTGCAGAATATTACACGCACTTCGGAAGTTGCTTTAGCTCTCATGGCAGTATGATAGACAAAGTGAACGCACGGAACTCGAAGGCCAGAATTGCGTTTGTCAAATCGCACCGACTGTGGCACCAAAAGGCCATTTCACTAGGTCTCAAAGGACGCACATTCAAGGCTGCAGTGCAGGCTGCACTGGTGGCTTAGCCTTTTTCAGGTGGAGGATCCTTAAACACCGGTGCGTTGGAAGTATAGTGGGTTGGAACCAAAGAATTCACGATGAGGTCATCAGTAGAAAGGTTTTTGGTGAAAGAGACGGTATTTCACTCAGAAAATGCATCCAGCACAAAACATTGAGGTGGCTGGGCCATGCCAAGATGAGTGATATTTTTTATGCCTGATTCGGGGTGGCGGAAACCTGGACGTGGACAGAATTCGACAAGACATGATGTTACGAAAAGTTTAGGTGCCGCTAGTAGTGTTCGCCTTCCAGGATGGGGTCCACCTGACCCTTCCTGTACTTGGCTGGAAGATATGGCGGCTAACCGGTGCCAGTGGCCTTCATGCTGTCCAGATTGTCTAACTGAGGGCTCGAGGTGCAGGCCCCAGAGACGTTTGTCGTAGCTTGATCACAGATCCTCCTCTTTACCCAATTTCTACCTTCTATCCACTCAAATAAATTGAAATGGTAATAGGACAGTGAGGCATCAGTGTTCTCACTTGGATTGCTGCCAATAATCATGATGGGCCTTATGGTAATCAAGTGCGTAAACTTTTCAGTCACTGGACCCGGACAAAGTTCTTAAGGAAACTAAAAAATCTGCGGACTTCACGCAAGTTTATCTGGCCAACAGTTGAATTTGGGGCCCCCAGAGTAATCCTTACATCCACCTGAATTTTTAGTCCACTCACTTTGGAATGCCTTAAACCTCCCTTAACCTGGGCACCCGGAAAGTAGTATACGCCCTTGCAGTTCTCTCTTTACCAACACTCAACCTCAAACATCTTTCATCTCCTCCATTATGTATTGCATAAATATAAAAATAAATCGTTCAGCTGTAGCGCCCTTTCGGTGCTTAGCTGCCATGCCACCCGAAGGAAGCACGAGGGCTGGGATACTGTCAGGTTGCCCAAGCCTAGACAGGGGAAGTCGAGTGGCGGAGGTCGGGTTCGAGCCACGGACCTTCCGGTCAGTAAATTCGCGCTCTAACCACTTGAGCCATCTCGCTCTATGTATTGCATGCGAATGTGTCAGCAACCTAGTAGCTATTCCGTGTCTATAGTGCCAGTTAGCAGAACAAAAAACGCTGATTGATCTGTCTCATACTTTGACATTCCGTTTCTGTACTGCCTACGGAATTAGGCAACAAAGATTCGCTGCTGATACTTCACCACCACTTTCAGTAATGTTTCCCTCAGAAAACGTCATAAAAGCGTTCAGCTTACCACAAACCCCTTGGACTAACCTAAGTAATTTTGCTCCTTACGTTCCACGTGTCTGATGGGTCTGGTGGAACGCCTAAGGTGTGGGAGTTGCACTAAACTCCATAAGTGAAAGTGCTTTATTGAAGTGGATTGCGGTTCCGTTGACCGAGGCATTTAAAATCAATGCAAATGCGGAAAATAACCTTGTCAGCATATCCTGATGACCACGAGTTTGAGAAACCAAACAGCAAACAATGGCAATGCAGTTTCATGGAACTGAAAGGATGATAACTGTGAGAGGTTCTGTTGTGTGTATGAGGCTGGCGATCGAGCTCAGTGCAAGTTTCGTGAACAATGGCTCCATGCGAATTGCACCAACGTTTGGTTGTAGGTCAAGTGTTTGTTAATCTGTTCGCTGAGCTTGGTAATTTGCTTGCAGAGGTTTCGTTACCAATCGTGGGGACATCATCAATGCGCGCTCAATCGTGCGCTTATCGTTTGGATGGCTGGGCAACATCTGTCCACTTGGACATAGATGTCACTGTAGGCGGAAGGTTTTTTGCCATAAGCGTTAACTCCATGCATGCCTATTACGGTGTGGCTGTCTTCGTGAAGCATGTCGCGTCCACTGAATTATTGCGACTGCACAATGTGAAAGGTCAGTTACATTATTACTCGCTGGCAGTTCTGTAACGACGGGACCAGATGAAGTCACACGTGTTGTCTTTACGGATATCCATTTGAATGTGACCAACCACTGCGTGTCTGTGGGACTTGTTGTCAACGTTAGGCGTAAATGAGCTTTGCATGCATAAAGTTGTGTTTATTATTGAAAGAAGGCTTTTTCTACTGGCCACTGTGTGTTCTGGGGTGAACAGTCCAGCATAATGCTCCAAACGGATACATAGGTTTTGTCATCCCCGCAGATCTCCATCGTTACCAAGGGACCGAATCAAATCTGACTGTATAGGAATCGCTAGTTTGCTCAGTACAGCCGAAAAAGGTAGAAATACTTGTGTGTTAATATTTGATCAATAGAACGATGAAAATTTGTTGACAGTTAAACGTCATTTGGAGAAATCGAAATGAGCTCACATAAGCATAATAAAATAAACCGCACTGGCAATTACGCAGTTAACTAATTGAATATTGCCAGAACTGGAACGAATGCAGGGCGTTCTTGTAATGACTTGTTCAAGGTAACGTGATATAATGAGGTCTGGAGAACCGTTCATCAGCAGGTAGATAGCTGGACAGTGGGGGGAAAACGTCACAAGATCGAGAATACCTGCTTTTTGTAGAAAACGCCAAGCCAAGTAAAACGGCGCAGTCAACTTACGGATGAGTTCTGCAATGGCACGCTGAGTTCGTCGTTCCAGCTTTTGTAACTTTTTATCCACGCCACGTTTGAGATCCCAGTCAGGTTTGCGAGGAGCGAGGCTCATCAAATTCTGCGTGACGAAATGATCGGACATGCGCGGGTCGGATGCACGATGAGTGATGAACGGTTGAAAAAAGAAGAAGTTACATTCAATCAGTTAAGAAACGCTCGTAACCGATCGATAAGTTACCGTTTCAGAAAAGTTAATCAAACACTGTACATACACCAAGTAAAGCTAATTTTCAAATGGGAAAACGTGGTGGTTATCCATTGCAGTGGAGAAAAACAAGTGAAAGAATAATAATGGAGAAAGAGGCCTACCAGTATCAGTAAACAAAAAACTGCACGGCTGGATACCGTTCCGGAAGCAACCAACCGTAGACCTCTAATTAGAAAACAGAAAACTCACAATAAGCCGGTACCTATTAACGGATCTCGTTGCAACTAGATAGTGCCACAGAGCTTCCAATAGGGCGGACAAGGATTTATCGTTTGCGATGTTCAAGAGAAACGGGCGAGTCTAGGGACTGCCTCAAGTCGGTCTTAGGACTTCGGTAGCGCTCAATCAGCGAAAATCAGCGCACGAACATATCATACTGCGGCCCCACTGGAAATTCCGCCATCGCGATCGCCGTCGTTACCAGCTGACTTTTAATAATGCCAGCTGGTCGGGTGGAAACTGGGATCGTTTATAGACCGGATTGATTCAGTGGTTGTTCGCGGTTATCGGACCCAACGTACCACAAGTTAAATTGCTTATGAGTACGATTGAAGTCTAAGAAAACTATGGAAATCTAATGAAAACCGGTTTTATCGTCACTTCACAGAATAATTGCATGCATAGTGAGGTCTGCGCGAGCACAAACGTTTATTAAAAACCTAAACAATTAGCAGAAGTATCAAGCCAAAAGGGCAGAAAAATCGGTACTCGTTTAAGAAGTCAAGATTCACTGCTTCTCCGTCAGGAAGAAACAGCTGTGCGGTGCAATTTGAATTCTACGCACTAGACTGGCAACAGGCCGTCTGGCGTCATGGGAGAAGAACATAGCAGAGTTACCTCTAGAAACTAGGAGCCAGGTATGACTAGCGCAGTACACAGAAGTCGGATAGATAGGATTCACCACACTGAGCACCCCGACAAGTAATCTGATAACCCACCACCGATGACTGGTCATCTTGTGACTGGTAAAGTATGGCTCAATGCAACTTCCAGGAAAGAAGCTGGCGGAGCACGTGCAATGGAACCGTCTGTAAGTGGAATTTTTATAGCGAAGCGAACAAATTCCACATTTTAATGCTTGCGAGACAAGACACCCGGCGTTTATTGGTAATCCACTAACCCTATTTTTCAATGATTTTTGACGTCACAGTGCGAAACCCGCAGTACTCAGTGAAGCCTCCCAGTGCTGAGACCACCAGGGTAGACGAAGCACAATTGAGTTCACCGGAGAGGGGAATAGAAGCTCTGATTCTGGTAACCATACTTATTATCGACAACAAAGAACCAAGAGCACATACTGGCGCCTAATCGTCAGAATAGCGAGAAAATACTGCCCGCGGGTGGGAAGAAAGGAAAGCGGTATGAACGTAATGCACTACTCATAAGGTTGCTGAAAATTCTTCGACAGCCCATGACCGGTTTCGCCCTTTTTGGGGCTCATCAGGTACGCGCAGTACCCGAGTTTCCGTCAACCTTATGATTACGTATATACACTACGTACACATTACGTATATACATGTATCGCGATATCTCGAATATCGTAGCAACTGAAACATGAGGCGGCCTGGTGCAGCAAATTCAGTTTCTTGGAAACATCACAAACGAGAGATTCAGCCGGGTGAGTCTCTCGCAAAACCAAATTTGTTTGCAAATGAGTGTATTTAGCTAGAGCGGTGTGACCTTCGTGAAAGAAGACCTTGTAAGTCCAAAACAAAATCTGCTGGAGGGACCGAAGTGAAAAATTAAGCAGTAAGAAAGTGTCATTCGCGGGATTGAGCAAGCATCTTTTGTGAGCAGCACTTAACATGAGCCCAGAGCACATTGACAGACATGCCTTAGCTTGTCAGTCAGACAGCATGCTTGATATCGAGAACGATTATGTGCTACGTCCTGTAAGGCTCTCAGCTAAGGCACGAGTACCTTGGAGAACAAATTTTACCTACGGGGATTGTTGTTTCACGTTGCCATCGCAAGATAAGTTTGATGACCAACAGGAGTAAGTCGGGGTCATTGACACAAAAGCGGAGTGAAACTCACCACCTCCTCCATAATGACTGGAGCATTTGCTGCTTCCAACTGTGAAGTCACATAGGGAGTCACTAGAAAGGGATCGGATGGCCATGTGAGATGGATGAGAACCGAGCGTACATTCCGGATTAAACGAGGGAAAAATGACACAAAAAGTAAACCAGATTAAGTCATAGGACGTAAGATAATGGTTAAAGTATTTCACCGCGTACCGAATAACTTGCATTGGGGGAAACAAACATTAGATATGAACAATAGGTAGTGGGAAAACAGACTGAAGGAGAAATATCAAAAAAACAAAAAACTGGTATTCAAAGGTGGGTAGCTCAAAAAATAAAAGATAAGCAAATCGCTCATTGACGCACATTATGAGGCGGCATTCGGAAACATAAAACGTGGTCTACGCCTGGAGTTGGTCCACAGTGCGAAGGCACGAAGGCTTTCCTGTTTTATTCGTTTACAAGCGGCGACTGGTTGTATAAAATGCCTAAGTGTCTCCCCGAAACTATGAGCCGAACTAAATGACTCCATTTCTAATGTGTACTGGAGTGGCTGGTTGTTCACCAGTTTCTTGTTAAGAAATTTGCCACACTATGTCCGAATGAGAACTGAGCGGCCCATCCTTAGCGAATGGGTCTTCTGCCGTATGCTCATTCGTTACGAAAATTTTGTTGGTTCTCGGTGGCCTGCTACAAAAAACAACGATTGTCATTTTGGTGAAATTCTGGTGTGACATGCGAAAGTAAGGTATCCTAAGTTTTCTTTGGAGGGGTGGAGACGAGCCATCGAGAGCTCATTTTGACTGCTTAATAAATACTCCAGTGTTTCAGTTTCAACAACCGAGTAGGAGGTGAATGCTAAAAAAAACTGCCAAAAAATTCACTCAATCCAAGAAAACCAAGAAGTGGACAGGATAGGAGTTTGGACAAAATTATAACACAAGTCAGCTTAGAAACCAGACGGATTGAAGAGGAAAATCTATCAATGCAAAACGCTCAACGTTTGCAAAGTGAAGTGCGGTCCGTAGAAGGGAGTAGCTGCATTAAATATTGAGGGAGGGTAAACATAGACATGAGGCACATCAAACACCAAGTGAGAGGAAAACATAGTCTAGTCGGCAAATGGTGCCGCCATTTGCATGCTTGTGGAAGAGAGACCACCACATGGGATCTTGGGTGGACATCGGAAAACAACTGACTCATCGGCGTCAGGCAAAACAGGTGTGCCGATAAGAACGGTGTGATTCCATCCATTTCAGAGAGTCGCTCATGTGCTAGCAAGCTAGCTGTCGCCAGCAGGCACGTTTCGATCGGCCCAGTGCGGAAATCACGAGCCTGCAGTGTTTTAGGAACCGCATAGGTAACGATGCTACTACATTATTCAAGCGAATCACATTCCTCCGGTGGATTCTAAGATGCACTTCGAATAAATGTCACCTTCAGGACTGAGTAATTTTCCCACATGTGCGCTCTAGTTGAAATCTTCCTGTATTCACCAAGCACTGACTGAAACAACATGGAAGGATTTCCTCTTTACAAGAAGTTCAGTCTGCCCGAAATCGCGAGGTCATACCGTAAGAGAGAGAGAGAGAGAGAAACACCGTGATACAAGTGATCGGAAGTTTTAGCCTTGACCCAATTTCGTTCGAAATGAACCGAGTTCTACTCATTTAAAATGAAGCAGAACATGGTAAGTGAACACCACTTTGTGGCTGACTTCAGATGACAGCATTTACTTAATCTGTGCCAAGGTAAAAGTGACTTCAATTTTTGAATTAACTTGTTCGAATTAACTTGTGCCGCTGTCTTTGGTGGGCAAAAACAAAGTTCACAGCCTCAGCCTCATGGATGGAGGCTCCGACCCGGTAATGATCAAGTGCGAGCGAAAACCGATGACTGGTTATGTGAAGCGATTAGACTATTCAGTAGTCCGTTTGTAGGTCAAAGCGGGGATGACCTAGCCAGGACCATCTGAAATGTTTGTCACTCTCTGCTCGTTGCCTGACCTCCAAGCGACAATCACTGACTGGAGATCACTACCACGGCGGCTGGAAACCGGAACCATGATCGATCTCACAAACCATTAATTTCTATCAGTGCTCCACCCCATGTCCCGTTACGTTCAGTAACGCGCTGGTTAGACGAAACACAGACAACCAAGCTCGCAGATACCATCCAAACTTTCCCATTGTGATTGCCGAACTCAGTAGTCCAAATAATCAGCCGCGTTCATGTAAGATTAAAAAAATAGTTATTTACAATAACACTCGGCAGGTGAAGTGAAGTAAGAAACGGGAACCGCAAAGATCCGTTGGACCTACAATCAACAGGCGGGGCTGCAGGAAGTTCGCCAGATTTTAGATCACCCGACTGAGGTTTGTAGTTTCTGAAGACCGGTTTTGGTAACTCGGATTCAGCGTCTTCAACCCCAGTGTCACCTAGTTTCCTGAATTTGCGTTTTCGGAGCTGAAGCAGACGCTGCTTGCGTTGCAAAGCCTCCTCCCGCAAATGCCCAACGGATTTCTCTGTCTCCTCAGCTGGACCTTCCTCGGTCTGAGAATCGTCAGAATCTGCAGTCTCCAGATCCACTGTAGTCATTCGACAGATTGCTGAGAAAGGGAGAATATGGCAGAGTTAGCATTTAGCAAACAATGATGGGATCAAACTATTTCACTGTTCGCTGCAAACATACTGGACGCAAACATGGGGAACACGAATCTGTAATACAGCAGGCCCCGACAGCCAATATGTAGTAATCATTCAGAAGCACTCCACAGCAGGACATCTCAAACAGGGGAAATTAGAACGCAAAGAGCACTCTTTCAGTAGGGGGTGACAGCCAGCTCTTTAGAAAGCGACTAAGTGGAAAAATCTAGAGTATTAACCGCAACTGCCCGAGAAATCACCAGTAGAGAAAGGCAGAAACATGAATACCGAGTTGATGAATAAAGGGGAACATACAAAACCATTACTGCTGTTTTGATAGGCTTAAAGGTTCAGTCTAACGGACGAACTACGAAGGCCTGTTCAGTTTGACGAGTATGACATTTTACAGAGTTCGTCTAGGTGCCAATATGGCAGTTGGTTGAATGGATGAGTTATCATTCTCCTTCTACTTAAAGGGATGGAGATTAATTATATCGTCAAGCTCCTATAATGTCTCCATTCGGGGCAAGGTTGGACGTATTATCTATCCGTAATTTCCAGTTCAACTGAATTAGCATTTATCACCCACTGCCTGTAATGAGTGCGCTTGAACTAATAGCCGACCGCACGTGCCAGTTTCATGACTTCCGAATACTTCAGTTGTTGGAAGGCCCATCACCTACTAAGTTCCGATAACGCGCAAGACATTGCACGACCCCGTAGAAAGGGAATCGGGGTGGAAGATTTAATCGTAAACTGAATGGAATTCTCGCCCATGACTCTCGTTGACCAACTAAAGACGCTCCAAACAGCATCAGCTTTATAATAAAGCATGTGGATTTCCCTTCTGAATTCAGAACAAAATGTGTTCCAAAAAACTAGTACTCGTCGCCATTTTGTTCAACTTCATATTCTACTTCCGCCGGAAAGAACTTAAGGACGGAAGTGCGCAGGCGATAACGCGCTACTGACTTACGTTCCATCCGGATACTAAATACATCAACCTGACATTAGTCAGGTTATTGAGTCATTGGCTCCGGTTTGGGTCCCTCAAAGAAAACTGTACTGTCCGCTGCCTGACGAGTCAGACTTTTGAGTCAAAGACTAGGGATAGGGTCCCTGAACAAAACCCTACACCCTCCTACAGAATTGTAGGTCAACGGCTAAAAGTGGGGTACCTCAAACAAGCCACCTTCCTCAGCCTGGACAACCGGGAAGTACTACTAACCGGCACAGTTCTGTATCCACCGATGTCCCCATTCAACCCCTTCCCACCACACAAGCACACGCTTCTGGGTCATTTCACTGACCAATCGGCCTTATGCACCCCAATAGACAAAATAACCCTTCAAAGTTCACGATATCCATTCTATATGGGAGTTTTTAACGTCCATAATCTATGTCGAATTAGCAAACAATGCTCGCTGATACCTTATACTCCAGGTTAATTGTCAAGCAAGAAACACTGACAATGTGATACTTGCGGGTGGTATGAATGCATAAGTCAGTCGTCTGACCTCCTTGGAATCACATTTGGGCGACCGATTCGAAGTACATGCTTGACGCACAGACAACGGAGAGTGACTCCTTCAACTGTGTGCTGATCATCAGCTGTTTCTGGCCAGTATGAACTTTCGCATTGCGTAATCTGGCGGCAACCAAATGCAAATCAACCATGGAACCAGTTAGATCACGTGGCCCATCAGCTGGCGGTGAACAGTCACTATTCAAGACTGACGTTCATTAAAGGCACACAACTTGATTCTAATCACGCCATGTTGCGTGCACGCCTGACAATTCGTTTCTCCTCAGGCCCTCGCAAGTCAGCAAGAAACATGCAAATCCACCATTTTCGAAGAACTACCATAGCTCAAGAGTATTAATCTGAGCTAACCCAACAACTCTCTACAATAAACCGATACTGTAGTGGTAGTGAGCACGTGGAGGAAGCATGGCGAAATTTGAAAAGATCTATGCTAGCGGCGTTCAGCGTTGTCAGTCCGACTTTTTCGATTAGACCAGAAAACCACTGGATGTCGTCGAGATCGCTATGATTGGTGCCAGGGAAATCATATCAGCACGCTAGGAGCACGACGGTGCATGCAAATCTCTCAAATGATGAATAGGGAATAGTCTAAGGAAAGACCGGGAGTTCTGGTCGATAACGGAAGCTCAAGAGATAGAGAAGGCTTTTGTAACCGGGACCAGCCGTGCCCTACATCAACTGGTACTATCGACTGGCCCTAGGAAAGCAACGGTCGGCGAAGCGGTAAGTAGAAAAGGTAGGTCAATGATTCACGCGTGAAAAATCCCATTGGAAAGATGGGTTTGAAAACTTCGAAGAACAATTTAGCTGGCCTCCTGCAACACAGCCTCAGGAAATAGTGCATACAGGCGAGTGGGATGTTAACCTTAAGAAGCAATAAAGTACAACATATCCGTAACAGAACCGGACGGTCTGTAGCCAGCCCTCTTCAAAGAAGGCCGAGAATCTCTGGTGACTTATGTGACAAAGCTTATTGGTGCTATACGGAACAAAGAGAAGGATGCCTGCAGGATAGGGCATGTCAACATTTATCCCTATCTTCAAAAATGGTACGCAGCCGCTGTGCGAAAACCACCACGGCATCAGCCTTGTAGCTGCGGCATCGAAAGTGCTCTCTGATCTTATCCTTCGAAAGTCGACTGAACACAGAAAGAGAGATTCGTGAAGTCCAAGTTGAGTTCAGTGATGCGAGAGGATGCATCGATCAAATCTTCACCCTCCGAAAGGTTCTGGAACAGCGACATTGCTTTCAGCAACCAAGAATGGTTGTTTCTTGATCTGAACAATGCTTTTGATTCTGCGGACCGTCAGGCAGTATGGTATTGTCTACAGAACAAAGGTGTCTTCCGTAGATTCTTGACCCTCCTTGAGGAGCTGTACGCTAACTCCCGCGGACGTGTGAAGGTATGGGGGAAGTTCTCACCTGAGTTCCCAACATCAAGTGGTGTCAGGCAGTGCCATCCTCTTTCACACTTACCCTTAAACTTCTTCATTGATACAACCATGGAAGACTCGCTATCAGTCTCTAGTGCCTGTGGGGTTCACCCGGGATGTCCCCTCACAGATGTCGAGTACGCAGATGACAGTTCTTCTTGGATCTGGCCACATGATAGTACAGGCAATAGTAAATAATCTGAATAATTCTTCCTCATGGCTTAGCATGTACTTCACATCTGCAAAGTGTAAAGTGCTAGTGCACTTGCGGAGGAGCCGATTGAGGTAGTAGACAAGTTTGTCTACATGGGCACCTGTCCCGGTGGTCTCGCGAAAGATGATATTTCCATCGGAAGCCTTCATGAACATGCATCACGCGTGGCGTAGGCTTGACATCAGCTTATCCGTCAAGGATCGAGTTTACAACAATGCGGCGCGCAGAGAACGTCAAGACTTTCAGTTTCACCATGTGTCTTCCGAGTCGGAGTTTGGTTGGAACACCGGATCAAAAATCCCGAAGTATGTCGGATGGTTTTCGAAAGAAATAACACCCGCGATAGATGAACTGATCACACTGTATAGGTTGCGCTGACTTGGCCACCTGCCGCGTATGCCAGTCGACCGCATTCTTCGAAGGGTTCTTTTTACACGACCACGTGAAGGGTGGAAATTGGCCGGGGGACGTCAAACAATGACTTGCCAGCGAAGTATGAAGGCCACTACCAGCAAACTCAGCTGCGCTGGTCATTGTCGTCTCCCTGGATAGGGAACTTGAGACGTGATATACCAACGGTTAGGGGTATTGTCAGGCATGACCCAGTCATACCCTCAATGGTGCTCATGCACCCAAGCTATTGTCCTCAATGCATAGCTCCCCACGTAAAAGTCCACTGACAACCCTACATTTACGCATCAATTATACCAGCTCCCGCCTTCACTGCCCAGCTACCTATCTCAACTCCCAAAATCACCGGCCAACGAAGCTGTGGTAGCTATAACCACTGTATGACACACAGCTAATAATGATGATGAAAGACACCAACAGTAAGGGTTACGGTATCAAGGCAATCGAGGATAGTGCACGGACCTGTTTAGCTAGATAGTTTTATTGGGTTGGAAGTCAACATTGCTGACGAAGTGAATCGTCGAAGCCCCTTTCACTTGGGCTCCTTTCATCAACCGACAATCAAACTCGATGTAGCCCGGAACCAGTGGTTCAATGCGGACGTTTTGTCAAAGAAACAGAGTGAACAGATACAATACTGTATCGTTCACCGAATTTAAATCAACACAGCTGGTTGCTTGGGGATAACATAGTGAGTTGCAGCTGTATATACCGCAAAAGTGACACTGACGGGTGATTGCTCTGTCGTTATACAAGCCTGGAAATGGATATTTTTGAGAAAAATCCCGACAGAAAATTCCAATCACCTCAGCTAAAAACATACAAGATAAATCTCGATTTTCGGTTGTTTCGCTGTTCAAAATGGGCTGTTCAACAAACGACAGAGGTTGAAAAAGATCGCTCCAATTTTTCACCAGTGGTGAGAAGCCACCACGTGTACAATAAAGTGACACGACACAGTGGTTCGCCCGAATGAGTTCCCAGATTTAAGAACATACCAAAACCCAGAAATGTGGTCATCATGAAACTACTAGAGAATATCGCAGGTTTGGGAGCCAACAGTCAACGACAAGAAATGAATGCCTGTTCTAAACAGTGTATTTGAAGAGATTCGTGCAAAATATGATGAGATTGAGAGTAAACCAGTGCGCAAGACGAAAATACAAACGCACTACCGGACTGTCTCTGATAAATATGTACACTGGTGAAGAATATCTGGGGAAACGCTTAAGTAGCCAACGTCAGTAGGCAACGTCAGTTGAGACGGAAAAGACGCAAGTCACTTTAAGCTGATGGGCTCAAAATGTTGGTCAAAAGATAGTAAACGAAAAATAGGCTGCAGGAATTGGAAGTAAAATAGCAACCGATTCGAGGGCGCACACGATTAGCCTTAATACTAAAATGCGAACTATCTTGTTTAGAACTATGGCTCGATTAGATAAGCCAACAAGAGATTGCACGATTGCAAGACGATGGAAAATAAATGACACAGGGAAATGTGTACAAGTGCCCTAATCACAGTCGTTTGCTGTGAGGGACGGACGCGTCACAGGGAAAAGACGAGATAAAGAGCCGTTGGAAGTTCCTTCCTGAATGTCCCGGCATTTAGGGTCATGGAGATAATCGTAACTAGTCGTCAGAGGAACGGACGTGGATGGAACGGGAAACGAGATCGGAGAGCTTACGCCTACCCTATTGGAAGTGCGCACGACAGATACTGGTTGCACAGGTCGGAAAGTCAGGCCCGGGAGAGAAGTAGGACAATGTGATAACATATTGGACGACGTCGGCAACCCCTGTCCGTATAACTGGGGACCCGACCAAGGCTGCGAAGACAATGTGGTAAGTCGCTCAGCGACGCAACCTGCAGACAAACGAGCCTCAGCATCTTGGTCCCAACACTCCTCAGTCGTTTCGCACAAGGTGCACATCGACTACAAAGAGAAAGAGGGAAGCATACGAGGAGAATTGTAGTGAAGGAGTTCGTCGACAAGGCTTTCAAGATTCGTGACAGGAAGGAAAATGTTAGATGAGTCAGCTACTCTTCGTTCCACTAAGAAAACTATCGTGAGCAAGATCTAGTTTTACGACAGTTTAGCTGTAACGCCCTTTCGGTGTCTAACTTGCACGCCACCCGAAGGGAGCACGTGGGCGTAGATACTGCCTGGTTCCCCAAGCCTAGACAAGAGCAGTCGAGATGGAAAGGTCGGGTTCGATTCACGTACTGTCCGGCCCAAGCCTAGCAAGAGCAGTCGAGATGGAAAGGTCGGGTTCGATTCACGTACTGTCCGGTCATTAAATTCGCCATCTTCAGCTAGTTTTACTAGGTGTCTATTCTTCATTGAGCCTGATGTGCACTGGATGGCAGGATCAATTATTGGAGAATCCAGTTCAAAGCACAAGAGACCAAAATACCGTTTGTACTTAAGCTTGGATGAACACTGCAGACTCTCGGTCGCTTGAGCAAAAAGCCATTAATCCAACGCGGGAGCTTGGAGCATTGGGTCACGTAAGGCTGCAATAAGGTGGGTGGTGGAGCCCAGCCAAACGACTACCTTGCAGAGCCCTACAATCTGCTTGAGGGGGTCAGGCAGAATTTACATAGCTACCATGAAGGCCGTGTGAGCGGCTGCATTGGCTTTGTGTATCCAAGGGAGTCTTACGTCAGCCAATGCCTGGAGTGACCGCTTAGATTGGACATATTAGCTTAGGATCAATCGAGAAGCTGCATTTAACTACGTATCTAGGAGTGAAGAGGAAGAAGAAGAAGAAGAAGACAGGCTAAAGTGGAGCACCAAACTTCTTTGTCTACTTAATAACTGGCATATCGTTGAGTGTAGACCTGCTATGGAACGGGACTACCAAGCGGAGGATGGGGTCGACAGAGCATAAACTTTTATGAAACTGACCGAACGGTTCGTAGTTTGAACCAGCTCCTGTCGTTTCGGTTGTTCCTTTTCGGGTTGAAGCAACCTTGGAGAAGTTCAGCCCTCCTGTTTGCTTTCGCATTACGGGAAGGCTACGTACCGACGGGGTGTAACAACTGGAAAATTGGATTGGATTTTATGACCGTGACCAGTGATCAAATCCAAAACCTACTCCAACAAACTAAAATGGCTATATTAAATGTTTCAGTTTCAGCTGATAAGAAGTGTATGCGTGACTGTCAGCTCAGGATACCACAACGAATTATCCCCAGGTATGATGTGAACAATGTAGCAGGACAACTCACAGGGATATCACGAACAGGGCGAAAGCTAATACTAGGTGAATGTGTACAAAACATGTGACAAAACTATTGATGACGGTTTCTCATCACTCAAACACTCCGTCATTCGGTAAGCGTCGCGAAGACTTTTTGGATATCATCAGATTATGTTTGAACTACCCTGCGCTTATTTCAGGCTAGCAAACAGGCACCAGTTCGAGTGCCGTATGTGACATACCATCAACCTAGCGCATCAAAACTCGATGCAGTGAACGACCCAGAGAATTTATTCCTTCCCAGTATCCAACATCTTTCCACTAGAAACATCCAGTCTAACAAAAAGTATACGACTAGAAGGAAAGGTACTACTTCCGGTTCTGAGAGAACGTACTGTCATACGAGGGTCAGTGATAAGGAGTTGCGCATCCGTCACCACTAATCATGAAAGAAAATAAGCGTTCTCTCGACCTTCGCCCGTTCAAATTGTTAGCTACAAAACCACTGAAGATAACATCTGTTGGGCAAACTTAATTAATCGACGAGCATCTAAGCGAATACTGACCCGGTATATACTCGCATACTCTTTCTCACATTCGACGCCGTACATGCAGATTAGAATGCATATGTCAACGGGTTTACACACTTGGTGTGTCTTAGCCCTAGAAGACAAAACCATCACAAACACGCATTCCATCCTGTGACCTAGTTCTTCGTAACAAAATTTCGCCAGGGCTCCAAGACTGCAGCCCAAATCCTACAGTCTAACAGGGGTGAGATAGGTAACCATGTAGGCAGATACGGCTGAAGGTAGTAAAGCTGATTACCAACAGTAACACTTACAAGACTATGAGACCAATTCGGATTGAACTTGGGACGCTGTTTCTCCTGAGCAACAAAACGCTGAAGCTCTTCAATGGTTGGTGCAGGTCCGAGCTCCAATTCGAACGGGGCACGGTAAGTACCTGCGACTTCGATTGGAGTCTCCAGTGAGCCATAGCATCGTGACATCAGCTCCCAGAAGACCAGTCCCATAGCATACACATCTATTCGTAAGTAAGCGTCACGTGAAAATTGAATGGCACCATCTAAAACCTCAGGAGCCATGTATCGCCGGGTACCAAGCTGTTGAGAAAAATTACGATGAGATAATAAAATAAGGGAACTGAATTCGATCTAGAAAGACGGGACAAAGCTTTGTATCTATGACTCACTCGCATGCTGTTTGTGCAGGATCCAACAAGAGTCTCAAAATGACCTATCTCGTTTACGATGTCCATTTATCGCTTGACGGCAATAAATGAAGCTCGTTCGGACTTCACAATCATTTTGACCAAACGTGCAGATGAGGTGGAAACACAGTAGGGTCACACGCGGAGACTGGATTCGTGAAAAATTGACTAAAAACCGAGAACTATGCTTATCCCGTGAATCCGGCCATAATCGGTAGTAAGCTCTTTACATGCCTCAATCAACCTCATTGGTAGTATCAACTATGAAGAGCTAATAGCCAGTTTTTATGGACGCGAAGTGGTGGAATTCACTGAAAACATGAAAAACATCAGCTGCAGTTTTCTTCGGAAACAAACATCGATGGGTCTATCTCGGCTATATGGTCTGCAACATAGTGGACGGATAAGATGAGTTTTAGTCTTCGAACTTTTGGAGCTTTCATTCATAATTCTTTGCTTAGATCAATACACAAAAGATAACAATATCTAAAATGCAACAACTGTTTATGTGTGCCGTTTTGTATTGTTTTAGAAATTCAAGCACGCTGAAAAAATTACCACTACTCATATCGAATGACGATACCAACGACAACAAGCCACTGGAAGCAATGACTTTAAGAGCATGACCAGCTATAGTCCCTGTCAGTTACGCTATGGTCAACCGTGATTTCCCTTGAGGACGCAGCTCGCAAAAACTCGAACGGGCATGGAGGGATTTAAAGTAACGCAAAGTGACAGCCACTGCATTTATACGCATAACGGATTTCTACATTCTCAATTAATCATATAACGGTTATAGGTACTGGTCGCACGCCATAGCTAACTAATCATTCCTACTTTAAAGCACACAGCGCGTCAACAAAGCTGATCAGGCATCGAGGTCCGGGTGCCTCAGGTTAAAAGAGAGAATAGGTACCCCGTTATTCATTCTTAAAAATGGCGAATACGCTGTGTAATAAGAAGGTACAAAGACCAGCTAACCCAGCATCCTTGCAGTTATAGTACCACAGTATCGAGTGGTCGAAAGATCGTCTGACAAGGCTGTGAGCACGGCTGCGAAAGTCACAGATACGCTGGGCAGTTGATAAGCTCAAACTAAGACGAAGTCGGTCGCACAAATCAGATTGGAGAAGAAACAAAACCACATGCTGAGGGAGGAGAGCTTTAGACGGTGAAAACAAACAACTCAAATTTGGGTTACTAGGACAAAACGGTTCAGTGTCTAAGCTGAAGGTCAGGAGAAGTGATTAAAGTACAAATAAGCAGATCAATCGACAGCTAACCTGCGGATGCGCATCGGACGGAAAGTGACCAGGCTCAAATCGAATAGCCAGACCGAAATCCGCTATACAAGCAGACATGTCGCTTTTGAGAAGCACGTTTCGCGAATTCAGATCGCGATGTGCTATACTCGGCTTCGTCGGTTCCATTAAAACGGTATTCCCACCTACACTGGTGATTTCTGAATGCAAATGGGACAGGCCACGAGCAACACCAACAGCGATTTGCAACAGTTCTGTCCAATGGATTGTGTGAGCTTTCAAGTAGTCGTACAGGCTTCCCAATTGATGATATTCTGTCACAAGCCAGTATTCGACTTCAGGTGGGTCCAAGCAATTGTTCATAGTCTGAAATATATATAATATAATGGAAACCAAGTAAATAAATGGGCGAAAGGGTGATATAATGGAACACCCAAATGCTCTAGTGTTGGTCATCACCTATGTGAACAAAAGGTATTCCTAATAACCAGACGAGTCACTTGCGCCGTTAACACTCACCATGTGTCCTGTGGCTCTCTTCAGGTCACGTTTGGATGTGGTCAATGATAACCATAATTCCGAACTTAATTCCCTTATGTGAAGGCATTCCACGTAAGAACAGGGAACTGTATGAGCACCAGTCTTATTGAGGCCCACAAAGGTCATTCTCAGGAAGAGGATAAAGCATCAATAAACCGATTGAAGCGGGATACAAAGGGATACTAATAAAGGCAGCTTGAATATGCTAGAACCAATAAGGTAACTTGGAGGTTACACTTAGAAATTTCACAGTAGGAGTTCTGGAAGAGAACACTGAAGATAACGAGGAATCGGTGATAATCGATGGCTGTAACGTTGATCGGGGATGAAAGAAGGGACAAAGCCTTTGTATTTCGAGACATTGGAGGCCGGTGTTCATCGGATCAGCTAACAACCTTATTCAGTACAGCTGGTAACTGCACACGTGCAAAACGCCGCAACCAACTGTATTCTCACTGGATGAGAAAATCAAGGAAGCAATTGGCCTTATGTGCAAGAAAAACGGGGAAACAACACCTTGGGGGGAACTATTACTATTTGACATTGGAGTCACCACCCACGCCTTTGAATTGTGTGCGGCTGGCGACGTGGTCCTCAAATGGCTGGGCTATGTTCATGGCTAACGAAGCCTCGGTTGGTGTTACGAAAAGCAACGCTGAAGCAACAGCGTCTGCCGTAGAACGAAACTGATGAAATGCAAACCGCTGTTCGTCTTGGTTTAGTAGGATAATTTTCAATCGATTCAACGACGCTCTTGCAAACGAGTTAAGGAGAGAGATAAAGGCGGTTGGTCCAAACTTTCAAACTATGTTAACATAGCCACTCAACAACTGTCCGGGACTTTTCCAACGAAGAGACAGTCAGTGAAAATATAAGCACATTTAAACAGGAACCACTTCGCTTGCCTCAAGTTCCAAATACTTTTTCTGAAGTTATGTTATCCGTGACAATACATCCATTAGTGGCAGTGAATGCGATGAGTAGGTTCTACAAATTTTCGGCAGGGCTTCTCGAGGCTACAAAGATACACTTCTGCTTCAAGGTATTCCACAAGGGCCGCACCGATACGGATCCTAAGGCGACGGTTAACTTGTCTGATTGCTTGCGTGAGCTTTTCTCTCGAAGGCTAGAGAGCAGAACCTGGCAACGCTGACAATAAAGGTAGTTTCAACAAGGCAGTGTATGTTAAAGCAAGAGCTGAGACAATCGGGTGCTTTTAACAAACTGAGATCGGGACAATAAAAAAACAGGAAAAATCGATGATGAAAATCACCCTGCACAATGAAATGACGTGATTTAGCGAACATCTTTTTAGCTTGTGTACACCAGACCTATAGCTCTTATTGGAGCACGTTTTCAAAGACGTTCAAAGCAGAGTGATCACAGGAGGCACGTGGAGCGCTCCAGTGAAGATATCGATAAGGCTTACAAACACAGCTCAGCTGGGTCTTCAGTTGTGTGGGGAAATTAACGATATTGTCTGATCGCGAGAAATTCTGGTAGACTAGCCTGGGATTCTTTTAAAGCATACGCACCACACGAAGAAAAGATTCACATGAGTAATGATGGGTGCGGAAAGGGAGTAAGCATAGCGAGCTACATCCCGAAACTATGCAACTAATGAATTCGTAGAATAGAATAGAATAGAATAGAATAGAATAGAATTCGTAGAATAGAAGTAAGGAACGATACCATGCACGTTACGATGTCGTCACCTTGTTTACAAACGCGAACAGCCGGGACAACACTAAACATATCCAAGTCTCCCAGCTGGAAGTTACTACTGGCTACATCTGAGTGCAACCAGCTTTTTTTGAGCATTACTGTTGTATTATCAGTGTATTTATTATTATCACTATCACATTTTCGAAATGTAGGCCCGGATGAGCATATAGTACTGAAGATCACCACTCTTACCTAAAATCCTTCCGGGCGTCTACCTTAAAGTGCAGCTATCCAATCAGCGTTGCTTTTTTATTCCGTACCATAGGTTTGAGAACGGAGCATTTCCTAAAGCTGTTTGTACTGAAGAAAAAATCTAATGAGCAGGCAAAAAAGATTTAAAAAAGATGGATATGAAGATCGGGAACATAGGTTTGGAAACAAAATAGAAAAAGGGGTTACTTTAAGTGGAATAAGAGGTGACTCATGGTGAATTTGAAAATAAATTCCAAAGTTAGAGAGTACACTTAGTCTGAAGGACCCGCCAGTTTATTGGCGAAACCTTGCTCACTGCGTCCTATCCACATGACCGTGTTGGAAGGGATAGCGTTGATTTTGTGGGATAAGTTAGAATTACCACTTTGGATAGTAACATCAGGGTTGACGTTGACCTTTCACGTCTGCATAAACATAGAAAGCATATCTTAAACAGCGAAAAATGAGGATAAAACTGAGTGGAGTGGTATGATATTGGGTTCACACAAGTACTCCGTTTTACATATCTAAGCACCTACTCTGGATGGAAGTCGACAGCGGACATACCATTTAGAACGGTCATATTCTGAGGCGTGAAATACCACGGAAATCCAATCTCATAGGTTAAATCACCGTGCATGCCCCGAGGCTTTGTCTAAACGCTTCAACCCCACACCGTAGAACTAAATTCAATGGGTTATTTTGTTTGTTCGAGAATCACCAAAACGAAGATATGGATGCACATGAATCGGACCAAATAATTAATACGAGTACCATACCTCATTCACTCGTGGGCGGAAAACCGAGATTTTAAAACAACGAACAAACCATCCACTTTAAAAGTTTATTTTGAAACTGTTAAGAATTTGGAACTTGGGCTAAAAGACAGGGAGTTTTCTGACTACTACTTCTGCTGGTTTAAATATTACCCATTATCTGAGAGGAAGTTATCATGGTAAAACTCAAACAATCCATTTAAACTCCGAAGTCACATACTCGAATGATCACAGTGGGTCCCATTATATTGGTTCCCCTTTTGTGCCTGACTTTGATCTGCTTCCGTACCCGTGGAAAATGATTTCTATTGAGAAGTATCCCCTTGTCAAAGAAGAGTTCAGAAACGACAGCAACAGCACGCATTTTCAAACAAGACTAGAGGAGCTCCGTTCATCTGATGGTATCAGCCTGGTATCGCCTGATGGTATCAACTTGGGCGAAAGTCCTATGCCCTGACTACTAGTTGTTTCTCGGTACCGGTAAGTACCGTTGTGCTACCTATTATTGCTGTACTGTTGAATGGATTACAGTGACCAATTGCTGTTTCTAAACGTCGATTGCTCTGGAATACGCATCTTGACTTCAACCATGATATTATTCCCCGCAGAATCCAGTCAGATTTCCCTGGGAAATCCCATACACTGATTCTCCAGTTAGCAAAAGAAAAGCTGTGTGAAAGGAATGTGCCAAAGCTTGCAATCCAATACAGTGCAAGCAACGTGCTCAGAGAACGTTGACTGCAGCTGAGAAGAGAAGCCAAATACTCCGCACATGATATTTCCGAATGGGTGCACAGAAGCCACTGTATCTCAGTGCAGTCAATGTATCCCCATGATACAAGATGCTGTACCTTTTCGAAGCCCATTTGGACAACAGCTCGAGCCAAGAAAGGTGCGTTGTTCAACAAATGAAATAAACCAGTTCGGTTGGCAGTACGAAAGCTCCTTTAGTTAATCCGCAAGACAAGATCCAAGTGCTATTTAGCTGGTAAGAGATGTAAATTGCAGAGTAGAGCATTTTCGACGGCCAATTAATTTGGTCATCCGCCCCGTGGTTACGCGTTTATCAGACCACCTTATTTCAAAATGCGGTCTGTGAGTTTAGATCAACTGTCAGTACTAAGATATCTTTCTGTCTTGAAACGCCATTGAGGTTCTGGGCCCGATAAGCTTCCGCCAACAATGTTCAAAGACAGTAGTGAATTTTCGTGTTGTCTTGGCTAGGTTGCTTGGACAAATTTGAGAACACGAACTCGTTTTAGAAGTGCGACCAACCATTCATTTTACCTTCATTATAAAGACGTTTCCAATCCCATTGTACTTCTTCGAGAGAAAGTTGAGAAGGTTGGGTTTGCTTATCAGCACACATATCTTGAAAGTTTCGTAAGCCGCGAATGAACTGAGACTGGAGCTAAACCATGAATACAGGGGAATACAGGATAACTTATTTATCAAGATTCTAATGATTAAAATTTTGCAGCACCCATTTGGCCGGTATCAGGTATACAAATACGCCCCCTTCTGATGCACTAGTACAGGCCCCATTTCCAGATATTCAAAGTTATTAAATTCTTGGGCCATCTGTTATGGTCGTAGTGCTTAAGCATACCATACCCTGACATCTGCGGTTGGAAAACAACCGGCTCCGTTAACCAGGCTTAAGAGACGCAGGAAATACTCCCTCATCCTCACGAGGATACAACTCTGTTAGGACTTAGTACCTCCTTGGTAAAGATAATATGCTGCAGAAGGCTCAGTTGGAAAGTCGCGAATTTACTGACCGGAAGGTCCTTAGTTTGAACCCAACCTCGGAATCTCAATTGCTCCTGTCTAGACTTGAGCAGCCTGGCAGCATCCCAGCCCTCGTTCTCCATTCTGATGGCACAGCAATTAGGCACTAAGAAGCAAAACGATTAAGTGAAGATATTACCGTACTGCAAACGAAATGGCAAGCAAGTGAGCTTAGTCAGCACCACTACATAAAGGAGAGTTTTGAAGTAACTGAACCGGCCCTCACTTAGTAACAATGGTACATCTAGTTTGATATTTAACACCAAAAAATGTTAATCACTACCACCAGTGAAAAGCAATCAACAAGGTCTTGGCTTTTACTGATAGTTCCCCTTCTGAACTTTCTCGTGTATTGCTACCAAAGAGGGCCCTGGGTAGGCTGACACTGTGACTAAGAGTCACTGGAGTCAAAAGATCGAAAAATAACACCGCATGTCGTGTACTGTCAAGATCAGCTTATTAACCACCGAACACTAAGTTAACTAAAATGAGCAAATTAATACCACCACGGTGGTGTTCATTAACCAAAAACAAGGTGAAACAGCCTTTGTGCAGTACATTAAGTTGAAGAAAATCATAAACGAAAGATGTATTTGATGCATTTGATATGCAGTTGAGTGTATTTGTCGAAATCTTTCCAATTTGGATTCAAATAGAACATAAAGTTGACCGAAATTCGGATACTGTGCCTACCTGATGAACCCCAGGGAGAAACCGATCGTGGATTGTTGACAAGCTTTCGGCAACCTTGTGAGTAGTTTCCTTTAAGAAGACGACTTAAATGGTTTTGAGGAATAATTTTAGGGAAAAACTTTGTTTAGGGCAGGGGATCCACCGAACATCTGATGAAAACAAAGCACGAATAATAAGTAAATAAAGATATGAGAAAACACTGTATGAGGGTATGAGGTCCACTATCGAGGAGAAAATTATTCTGCTACTGAATCAAATGCCTAACACCAAAAACTCACTTGGTCGGCACCGATGAACTTCAAAATATTTGGGTGGCTCAGGCCCGGGACACGGAACAAACCGAGTTCAGTAATCCAACTATCCTTCTGCGCCGCTCGGAAAACTTTGACCGCAACGTCCATACAGCGTCCCAGTTCTGAAGAGCCGTGAGGAGGCTTCTGGAACTGTCCATGCCAAACTTGGCCGAAACAGCCTTGAGATTTCAGTTCAAGCTTTGTGACGACGGATGCCAGCTGCGGGAAGTATTGTGCACAAATGTTCAAATCAAGCATACACTAAAGCAGGACACTAAACAGACACCTAGAACGCTGAGTTACTAACAACTACAGAACGTACACCACGAACTGCAAATAGGGAAACGAAGACGCGCACGTCATGGAGACTCGCATCCTAGATGACGAAAATTCTATGGAGGTGATACACTACTCACTCATAAAAACATCATAAACAAGAGATTCGGTTGGGTTACAGATGGGTCTCCCGTCAAAACCAAATTTATATGAAATGAGTGCATTTGACGTGAATTCTACTTTAACCAAAACCACTGGCAGGCTAATAACTGCAATCGTTTAACAGTTATGAGAAATGATACTGGAGTTTTAATTGAAATTTCACCTCGCACATGAACTCAATCTACGTTGAAAAACCGAAAATCATTCAGTTGAGTCTCTCGTGAAAAGTAAATTGACACATAAATGAGTGCATTTCCCAAGCCCCACAAGTTTGAAAGACATGATCAGGAGTAAACATCTACCAACAAGAACGCAAGTATAATCGATGAGGAAATGAGCATAAAACAGGCAAACATGTCTGATTTACCCCCTCTACTTCATCTGGAGTCAACCAGCCAACACCAACTGCAGGGAGCCGTTTTGACCTTTGAAAACCGTTAGCTTGCTCTTCTACATCGTTGAGCCCTCTGCTCAGCTGATCGCAGGTGCATGTGGGCAACACGGCCGAAGTTTTCAGTTTCATCAGCTGACACTCACAGTGATGCTTCGGAAGAGGAATATCAAAATTCTTGGGGGGAATTTTAGAAACATAACAGAACATACCTTTTTCTGTTTGAGTGCACGACCGCGAGTGCGGCGGCAATATAAAATAAAGAATATCACGAGTGCAAGGCAAAGGATCAACGCAGAAGGCACCACAACAGGGATGAACGAACGCGAATCAGCCGAAGGAGTGCTGTCCTCCGGAAACGAAGGAAGAGAAGAATTCGACGCCAAGGTTATTGGCGACAGTGGGCTTGATCCGGGTCCTGCACAGAAATCGAATGAGACCGGGGAAGTAAGTTGCGATTTACTGAAGCTTAACAGCTCAGTCATAAGTGAAATGAGTGAAATGTAGAAGCGAATGAGAACGAAACGTTGCACCAATCCAGTATGAAGTAGTACGTAGCAGCAGACAGAAAAAAGTTTCGGTATACCGTATAGTCGGATATAAATTAAAAAGAAAACATAAGGGAAAAAAGCCTGACGATACCTTAACAACCAATATTTGGCTGCGGAATTTACGATTACACGAAAAGATAGCAACATTTTTCTCACATCAAACTTATGAAGTGTGGACACGAGCGTTCCGTTAGTTGTGGTTTGGGGGACGCCAGATGAAATGATGAGTCCGCCTGTGTCAGAAACTCCTCTCCACAAAGAGCATTCTGCTGTACGAAACTATCGCCCTTTTCAGTCCAAATGTGCAGCCGAGCCACCATCCAAATTCACCAGCTGTACCAACCTGAGCACTCATATTGCAGGTCTGAATTGTGATATCCGTGTACTTCGCAACTTGAATATTTAGAGGAAGTTATTATTATCCGATGATTATCTCTGATGGTTATACTACAACCTAGTCTATGTGGGTTTTGAACACTCACACCATCGAGGTCCTTGATCGGTATGCGGAGGACAATACGTCGTACTGGATATCGTATCGAGACAGCGGTGGTTAGAAAGCAAGAAACCAAAAATAGTCTTTTGCTTAAGTTCACTGATTCAACAGAGACACAATATGCCCAAGTTTTGATGTCACGAAGCAGAAAGGTTTGTTTTGGAAAACACTTTAAACTTCCTACACCTAGTGTATGTTTCCATCACGTTCGCTATTAAATTTCCGTTATCAGGCATTAGTGGATCTGATTGCTTCAAGCTGTCGAAAGATTATTTCAACGTCACACCCGGCTAGATAACATGATTGGTAATACTGCTACCTAATGTTAATTTACTTCTGAATCTCAGTAGCAAATGTCCACATCTTACCGGTCAATTGTAAGCATGTGAGACTCAACATGATTAAATGGGGTCAGCGAAACATGTAAATCATGGGGAACCGTAAGGCAGCCACACAATATGCATGTTCGATTCCGAAGATAGGCTCATCTTCCTAATCCGCCAGAAGAAAGTCGTACTTCCACCGATGCTGCTTTGCAATCAAAAAGTCTAACTAGCTTCCATAGACCAATAGATCGTTGTCCAAGTTGCATCATCCGAGGCCCGCATTTCCGCTTTCGTTCAACCACCTCTGCAACCAGAAGGCATCCGAGGCGGCATGGTATGTCATTGTGGAATAGATCATGAGCCACAAAAGAATACTTCAATCTCAAAAATACCGAGGCGTTCGGAGGTAGTGCTTTTAAACTATGCCACCAACTGGATCCTAGATTGTGCCCTTTAGGGCTATGAAGAAGTACGGATTTTGTTAAATACACTCAAGTCAGTTAGGGGCGATAAAAAGTGGGGGAACTGGCACTCCTGGAGATTCACTTGATTATGTAGCAAAATAGTAGGCTAACAGTTAGTAGTTTTCTACAGCTTTTGCATGCATCTTGTTGCTGATTGAATGACACCTGTAAGTAGATTGTTGAAAATCTATAACTTTCTGAATCTGAGTTATACTACCACTAAAACCGTTACTATTGTTGACGGCAGTATCGTATACAGTAAACGCATCATTTAGCTTTTTTATTTCGTCCGATCATATCGTTTTTAATCCCATCATGTGAGAGTTCTTCAATAATAAGTGAATGAAAAAAAAGCACGTGGGTGAAAGGCGAGGAACCGCGATACCTCTATCAGATGCATGAGGGTGGTATTTTGAAATATCCATTTTGTCAATATCTCAATCTTGCTGTAGTAACATTTGGGTGAGAATACCGTCCATAAAGGTTTCCAATCACGCTGCATATTCAAGCAACCAGGTTTCAGCGCGCACATATCAGAATGTAGCTGGCATTCGTCACTGGCAACTGAACTGAACACGGGTCTACGTTGAGCTAGGTACCAGGAGAGACCGGCCGGAGGATTGCAACTACACCGACTCCTATCGAGCACTGCCTACCCTCTTGTCCACCAAAAAGAGCTCGGATATAATCAAGATAACAAGAGATTTCGGTGCACAGGTGGGACGTCACAATGTACAATGTCACAATGTTGTTGTTATGATCAATCTGAATATAAAACGTGATGATGGTAGTTAACGTCTTTGGTGAACCTGCATGGCCAGAAATCGTTTCTCAGCAGTGATGGGTTTAAACATGCTTTTGTTCAGCCCAAATTTTCATTAATTCTCCGCTGAGAATTCCATTTAGCTCCGCCTTTCGTAGCAGAGAGGCTTTGTGGGCTGAAGGTCAATAAACAAAACAAACCTTACCATGCCATGCACTGCTGTCTTTGATTACGATAATGATGATGATGAGTACAAGAGGTTTCCAAGGAAGGCAATGACCGTAATGATACTAATAACCGTTCAGTCGTAACATAATTTCGGCGTCCAGCTGCCACTTCTCACGAAGGAAGCACGAGGGGTGACGTACTGCCTCCACCCATCCAGCCACCCAGCATCATCAAATGTTGATACTGAAGCAACACTGCCATTCAACCATAGACTTCACCTAATTATATTTAGAGCCCTAGAACGAAAATAAGAAAAATGAATGGGTGTGGGAGTGAACCTGGTGCCTGTCTATCGCAAACATTCTGAGGTGCCTGCACCTCTCTGGGCTCAGTTAGACAATTTGGAGAGAAACTAGCAGGCCGGATGACACTGACACAGATCAGTCACCATTTCTTGCAATGCTGAGTTGAGTTGAGTTCAGCCAAGCGCGGAACAGGTCACGGGGATCCCAAACCTAGAAAGTGCATCGCACCAACAACATCCAAACTCTTCATAATCTCTGTCACGCTTTTCTGCCGTGCCATAGCTGTCTACCTCGCGGTTTGCACCACTGTGAAAGAGGCACGGAGTACAACGCTAATCTCGGTAGACAGTGTTTCAGGATACGTGCCATCGCAGTTGACAGTACTGGAAATTTTTCAGGCTTGACAGAACATACGCAGTTATAAACCTTCGAGGTCGTAGGGAGTTCCACATCAGTTGCAAGCGCCAGATTGGTGGTAATTGGTGGCCAGGAGAGTTGTTATTCGAAGTATTCTGTCATCCAGTCGACTGGTTTTACTTCATTTAAGGTGATCTGGTCCTTGATGGTCTCCTTCACAGGTGATTCCCGCGGTGAGGGACCGACGCACGGTTCAACCTGAATCCTTTTCGGGCATTCCCGACTTTCTCGACCTCTTCCATCTCCTTAAATTGCTGTATCCAGCCGACTACACGACCAGCGCGCACGCTCACTTTCATCCGACCTCTGATAATTCGTCGGGACAAGTTATGTTCGGGACCGCACTTGACATTCCCCGAGACTTGCACAGTCATCATCATCGACAGCATGACACCGATGCTTTATTGCCCTACAACCATGATTAATTCGAAAGCCTTATTGTGAAGAAAAGGGTAAATGTGGACAGGAAAGGGACTTAGTGCTAGCCTACCACAATCATTCCGAGGTGCCTACACCTCCAGACATTCACTCAGTCAATCTGGACAGAAACTGACAACAAGAACGTCACTGACATCGGTTGGCAGCCGTATCTTGTAGTGTCTGCAACCACATATAGTGAAGATCACGCGGTCCCCATCGTGGAAGGCGAGTAGCACCGACAGCACCCAAGCGTTTCATGATCTCCTTCATACTCCTCTGCCAAGTCAAGGGTTGGCCACCTCTCTGTTTACGCCACTCCGAATTGGGCATGGAAAACAGTACTCTCTTCGGCGAACGATAGTTCGGCATGCGTAAAACGTGTCCCAACCAACGCAGCTTCTGGTGCTGGACACATTCTTCAATGGAAGTACCCGTTACACAACCGAAAACACGCTTTCTAACTGCCTCGTTACGGATTCGCCGACACCAACCCACACGAACTATGGTTCTGAGACAATGGAGACGTCTCAGTTCCGCTGCTCGAATAGGCCATGTCTCAGATCTATACAACAAAACAGCCCGCACTGTAGCTTGATAAACACCTCCCTTGAGGCTCAGGGATAAACTACTCTGACGCCAAGAAAACGCCACCCGAGCCTTGCAGATACGTGCAATGACCTTATCTGTTACACTACAATCAGAATTCTTACAGCTTCCAAGATACGTAAAAAAACTATCCACAGCTTCCAGTGCCTACTCTTGGATGGTAAGTGGCGTGTTTAGTGATTGTACATCCAGGAGCATGACCCTACCCTTGGTAGGGTGTTATTAGAAACAATTCCACTAGAGCTAGACACAGTATGAACCGGTTGTTTTCGATTATTCAAACTGTAATAATTCCCTCTATATCGTTGGGAAACCACTAGATAACTAGCTTACACTTTGGGGATGCAAAGTGCAAACCAAAGGACGGGATGGCTTTGATCAGTTCATCCAAAACACTTATCCTTTTCGAACAAGAGAACGTCGTCTGCATATTCCAGATCCGTAAGGTTTTTGTCACAGGCTATTTGAACACCAGGGCTTTAGAGACATTCCAGCGTTCGTCTCATTATCTCATTGATCAGGAAGTTAAAAAGGAATGGAGAGAATTGGTATACTTAACGGACACCACTCTATGTACGGAACCTTCTTAAAAGCTTTACGTATACTCTCATACGTCCGGAAGTATGAGATTACAAAGAATGTACTATGGTCACAAGCATCCGGGGCATTCCTTGGGCATTCCGATCAACCGAGTCAAACGCACCTTAGAAACCCAGGAATACTAGAATTGTGGATCGCTCATACGTATAACGTTGTTCTAGATCCTGACGGAACATGAAGATTTGGTCAACACAACCCCTACGAGGCCGGAATTCCACTTGACGCCCTCGAGTGAGTGTCCCAAGAGCCACCGTAAAGCGACGAAGCACCAGTGACGCCAACAGTCTCGTTACGACGGGGTCAAACTAATTCCCTGTGGTTGCGACACCCACTACGAATCCCCCCAGTTATCTGGACAGATTCCTTTTCCCAAATGTAGGAAAACAGATCAAACAAGCGCTGACTGAGGACTTCACCCCATCCTTAAATAATGAGGGTGGGAGGTCATCCGGATCAGAAGCTCAGTGGCGCTTGAGAGAACAGCGTTCAGTTGTAGCACCCTTCCGGTGCCTAGCTGCCATGCCACCCAAAGGAAGCACGAGGGCTGGGATATTGCCAGGTTGCCCAAGCCTAGGCAGGGGAAGTCGAGTGGCGGAGGTCGGATTCGAACCACGGACCTTCCGGTCAGTAAATTCGCGCTCTAACCACTTGGGCCATCTCGCCCCCCCCCCCTTGAGAGAACATATGCAATTACAAACCTCCGAAGCCGCAGGCAGTTCCACGATCACCGTCCAGGATTATACGCCATCTGTGGGATCTAGATGGGTGCGTGCTGGTGGCCATGACAGCTGTTGTTCGAAGTATTCGGTCCGACGGGCGAGGCATTCTTCTTTCTTCGAGAGGGTCGTTCCATTCTGATGGTTTCGCTCACAGGTGGTTTCCGGGGACCAGTAACAACGGATCAACTGAAATAATCTCCGAGCATTACCGGCTTTTTGGGCCTCTTCCATTTCCTTGGGTTTCTGTGTCCACCATATTTCACGGTCGGCTCGCACACTCAACTTCACCGTCGCACCAGGTTATGTTCGGGACCAGCTGGGATATTTCTCTGACAATTAAGCAGTGCCACCGTTCGGTCTAACATCCAGTGCTTGCGTACGCATGGTGGCACCGTGCCACAAACGAAATTTTCAGCACTATGCAAAGAGGTGGCAATCTCATCCAAGTATCAGTTCGCATCTGATGGTTGAACCTTTGGAAGACACTCCAGTAGACGATTCTGGTAAGTTCGTCTGACATCCGGATCTGCGAGTCTTTCAGTTGCCAAGCGATTTGTCCGCACCTTACGCGGCATTGAAAAACGTTGGGAGAACTCTGGACGAGCGCGTAATCGAAATCCACAAATGTGTTCCAAAACGACCGTCAGTCAGTTATTGATCCGAGCAATCGGTAACTGATGGTGATGGGGTCGATTCGGATTTGTGGCCGGCCTGCCGCTGGACGACACCATGTGGCCAAACGAGTTCGGCTACATAAAAGCGGCAGGCACAGCTGAAGCAACCGATCGCCACTGTCCGTACCTACCGAGTCCAATCCATATCGACCTCCTAATTGAGTCTCAGATGCATTAGGCGTACCCACTTGTGCATTCATATTTCCGGCCACCACCACGATGTCTGAGCTTTTAGCTCGCCGCAGAAGGGTATTGAGGGCGCCACAAAACCTGTCTTTGACAATGTTGGAGCTACAGTCAGTTGGGGCGTAAGCAGACACGACAAACAAACATCTATGAACTTTCCGCTTAAGGGACTCTTTCAAAGACGTTGACAGACGAACCGCACAGAGGCGACTATCAACAGGTATCCAGTCAAGCAAGGATTCTTCCGCCCGGTGATCAACCCCCTGAAGATCCCGTCGCAGCAGCCTCTGGATCACCAGAGGTGTGCAGCCGGAATCGAGAAGAGACTAATGGGGTGATTGGCTCAATCACTGTGCTTGCTACGGCAGTGAAGCATCGGTGTTGGACACTGATGTCATGCTGCTGCTGCTGCTGATGATGATGATGATGACGATGACTGTGCTTGCATCTTGAATTCTTGTTTCTTAGAGACAGCAGACATCAATGCTAAGCGAGTCCAATGTGCGTGCAAGAGCAGCTTGTTGTCCTGCTTGCTTCAGAGTGCGGACATTGAAGGCGGCCGGATAGACTGGGTGTCGAGGATTGAAGATTGATTTGGAGTAACCCAAGGATGTCGGCGCCACGTGGCGAGCAGATGCTGCACACAAAACCGGCGTCCGACGAACGGTATCATCAGTCCTAGGTGCTGGGACTACAAAAAGAGAGTTATTAATGGGGTGGGGACAGGGGGGAAGAAAAAGTATGTGAAAGGGAAAGAAGGAAAGCGTCAACAGTAGTCCGTTTTCGCTTACCCACATTGCTGTATGCAGCAAGTAAGGCGACCCGGCTGATGGCACCACGCGACGGCCGATGTGGCATGAGAGTATTTTTATTTGTGAGTGTCGTGGTTGTACGTAGGCTGTGATACTGGGAGGGCGCCCACACCTAGACAGGAGGACGATTAAGGTCCTCAAACAAACCCTTTGGCTCAAAAGCCTAATCGAAAGGCAGCGGTGTTTAGCGGGAAATGCAAATGCATTACCATTTCTACGGAACAAGTCGCCACATGTTCCAACCCCCAGCATGGAGGGCCAGGAGAATATTTGCCTGGCCTCTAACCGTTGACCAACCTGGTATGAGAGACTATGTGAGTGTCGCGGGGACATCCCTCAGTATAGCTCAGCGGAGCACTGAGGTGCACAAACAGTTACACTACGGTAAGGCCAGTCTTTTCGTGAAGGAATATACACGCCGATAATTCTGCGGCTGGAAGGGACTCCATATTAACAGTCCACTTTCTGTTGAAGGCCAGCCCGGTGAGTTGGAGGTCGCAGACGGCCGAATGAATTGTTGTTTGAAGTGTTATGCCCAAGGTTCTCGTTTGCCTAATATCGTAGAGTAATTATGGTCGCTGATTTCCGCACTGATAAGAGGCTTCCGAGAACCAGTCGGAAGAATCAAGTGGAACAACCTGCGGACGTTTCTTCCAATTCTGCGGCCCTCCACGTTCCCGGGCTTCCCGGTCTGCACGGACCGTCATCCGAGAACCGGAAGAATCAAGTGGAACAACCTGCGGACGTTTCTTCCAATTCTGCGGCCCTCCACGTTCCCGGGCTTCCCGGTCTGCACGGACCGTCAAATTCACCTGCCGTCGGGTGACGCCATACAACTCAATAGTTGTGAGCTTCAACCCGCAGGAATCTGTCTCCAAGTCTCCAGAAAAGCCATGATCCTATGTTTGGATGAGGTCGGCTAGGTTGTACCGCAAACAAACGTTCCAGCTTTGAGTACCGGTTTGGACATCTGCTCCCAGTGGCCGTTAATATCTGACAACGAATCACGCGCAACCGTTCCAGGAGGCAGTTCTTATTGACTCGTTTAATTTCCGGACCCCTTAGACTTTTAATGAGTAGATGAGATGCATTTTGCGTAGACCTAAGAAGCACAATCGTATCGATGAAATTGTTTAGCTGTAGCATACTTCCGGTGCCTAGTTGCCATGCCACCTGAAGGTAGCACGAAGGCTGGCATACTACCATGTTGCCTAAGCCTACAAAGGCGAAGTCAAGATGCAGAGGTCAGTTTCAAGCCACGGACCTTCCGGTCAGTAAATTCGCGCTCTAACCACTTGAACCATCCCGCCCCCTGAGAAGCACAATGGAAAGCATCAGAGAACAAGTGAACGGGGTGAGTCCACGCCGGTATTTTGGGCGGGGCAGTAACTGACAGCTAGGTGGTCTGCTTGGACTCGCGACCGGTTTGTTGATGGGCATCAGTTTATCTGGCGATTTCCACTGTTCCGGGAATTGGTACATCAAAAGAACAGTCTGTGATCGGAAACAGCTGAAGCAAACAATCCCAGTTGTTCGTGCGTCTCGTGTACAACCCAAAACATCTACCCAAGTGGGCCTCAAAACCCCTTAATCTATCTACCTGATTGTGCATGTCACTACCAACCACACGAATGTCTGAGTCTTTAGCCCGTTGTAAAAGAGCATCGAGAGCGTCATAGAAACTGTCTTTAGCAGATTCAGAGCTACAGTCTTTTGGGACGTAAAGATACAATAAACAGGGTTTTACCGAGATTCTTCCACACAGTTTGTTAAACGAACCGCGCAGAGGCGAATAGTAAGGAATATCCAGTCAACCAGAGAGGATTTCGCTCGACCACTCAATACAATACTCACGTCGGCATATCCAGCTCAGTGAAAACAAACTTCGAAGTGCTTAGGGTTATTAGCAGCTGAGTGCGGTGTATGGGGAACGAACCGGTCACTCCTAGTGCTGGGACTAGCGGAGATAGTGTACAAATTGGGGAGAGGTGTGGTAGAAGAGGGTAGAAGTAGGGCTAGAACATGTGTTATGTATAACCAACGACCGTTAACCTTCCGTTCCAAGGGAATATTGGCGAAAGATTCTAGGGGGAGAGACCATGACACGGCATCACGAAAGGAAAGTGGCTATGGTTAAACTTAGTACGGTTGGATCTTTGCATCTTTCCGGATGCGACTCACTTCATCCTAATTTCAGGTGGTGGGAAGTCCTCCAGGACATGGCACGCAACCGTTCCCAGTGGCGCGCACACTGTGATTTCCAACCCGGAATTCCTATACAGTTTGTTTGTGCGGTGGGTATATGTCAGGGAAAGTAAAAAACGACGTTGGGTTTATCCCGCTTAATGCGCTTCACTTCGACATGATGCGCAGATGTTTGTTTCTGTGCTGTCCAAGGATGTAGGCACTTTATTATTGACCGCTCTAGTTAAGGACACGATGGTTTTTCGTAGTATGAGCCTACCATTCCCTTTACTTTCCAAACATTAAGAGGATCCCTACTGTCATTAATACATGACAGTTGAGCACAAGTATGTATTGTTGGTACATTACTGTCAATCATGATGACAACAGGAAGACAACAGGCTCGCATGAGAGGCGGGCTGGGGGATGAGGATCCCACTTCAGTGAATCCTTAAGATGCGGAACATCCTTGTACCAGCTGCCAGCTTCCTCTGGATTTCTGTAGCTATCATGAGGTTATGTGGCACCAAAATGCTACGATTCTTCTGCGTGAGCAGCCCTTTCGTCGGCACCAAATAACATGAGCCACCAAAAGACTCAGATGCCCATTTACGCCGGTTCTTGATGGAACGCTGGTATGGCGAGTCCAAAGCCACTTGCAATCTCTCCGAACATTCGGCTCTTAAGATTTCCAACCAAAACTGCATATCATAAGCGTGAACTGAGTATTTCGCATGAAGAGATTAGGGTAGGCGTCGGCGAATACTGTGAAAAGGTCAGGTCCCAAAACAGAAAATCATGGGCACCACTGGCCAATGGTAGTGGCGAATATTGCGGGATTTGCCCTCAAATGCACTGTACATTCCAGGAAACCAGTAATCTAAGTAGGTTTTTGTTGTAACATCAAACTTCCGAAGGTTGCGGAACCGCCGATGTAGATCCTGTCGATGGCCTTAATGAAGTGCCCTAGGGCAGATTGAAGATGTCCACCAGATGTAAATCGCTTCTGCAGGTGTGCTTGGCGCCAGCTGTACCAAAAAAGAATTCATCCCAATCTATTTTACGTGGACAGGTAGAATCCCCAACACTAAGTTCCCACAACCATCAAATGCTACGAAAAAAAAAAATAATTGATGTGCTTGGATCGGATGGCCAGTTCCACAAGTCGAAAAATCATAAGGTGAGCATTCATTCAAAACGGTAAACACCGACAAAGCAGTGAGGACTCCTGATACTCGTCAATCAAAAATGTATCCCAGTGGACAGAAACTATTAAGCCCAGAGAAACTATGAGTTTGGCGCAACTTGAAATACACAAAAATGAGCACTATGGCCTACAATGCCAAGAGCTTACCTGGGACTGAGACGAATCGTATGTCCGTTGCATTGTTGCAGAGGGGACCTTTGCAACAGCAAGCCATGAATTTTTCCACAGATTCTTGAAGGATATGGCATGGTCCAGAAGAATCAGGACATCTGCTTTTCTGTCCAGAAATACATTATGTTGGTTATCTTACGTCTGTCCACATCCAGCAATCCTGTATAGACTCCACGAAGGAATGTGTTTCTTCATTCCACACAAGTGAAAGCAAACAATGGGATACACCATCTGCACATTCCTTCTGGCGGCTAGCAGGGCAATCTGGCTTTGACGGTGAACAAAAACACCGCATCGATCTAGATCACATTTGTACACAGCGCGGCATCCACACAGTCCGGGAAGCGCCTTCCCGACAAATTAGCGTCAAAAGCTACTAATCGCAGAACACCTTGAAAATGCTTCGATGTTCAGTTCGAAAGTGGATACGATTCTTACGGATTCACAGACTGATACACAGGAGTGGGCTTTCGCCCAAACTTGCTGGATCATGATTGTCTTGTCGTTCAACGGCTTCTTTTCACCTGGAAGCCATGTGGTGTTTTGTGCCTTTATTTTGCTCTCTTCATAATGTTACGTATTTTGTTTGGATACGAAAAACTACAAAAACGCACACTTGTACAGTGTCATGCAATATAAACGTGATCACGTGCTCCGAATTTCTCTTCTCAATCCGCTCGCGTTCAAAGCGATCATTCTCGGGTCTCGTGTGCTGACCCCGGTATGAAAACATTTCAGAATATCTTCGGAATCCATTGTGTGGGAACTGTTCAGTAGAGGACCCCTGGACAAGTATGATTGGATTATAGTTTATTCGCTGACCTGAGCCGGCTATGAGCTATTTTAAAGAGAACAATTAATAATGAGTCTGTTCCATCTGACTTCTTTATTATTGTATGCTCACTCTAGCGTTTTTAATTTTATTACTTTGCCACGCGCTCCTGTTGAAGTATCTTATTGGTGGTCTGACCACTACAGGTACACGAAAAAAGGCGTGATACCAGGGGCAGTAGTCTTCTTGCTACAACGACTACAAAAAACCTCATCTAACAGTGCTCTGAACTGGATACTAGATGCAGTGTGAACGGGAGCCTGATAGAACTTACCCCACACGTCACATGCCCGGTATGAGAAAAATTGTTACATAATGAAACTGTGCGTTCTGAGCGTGAAAATCTCTCAACGTTGTCCATACCGTGTCTTAGTTGGGTCAATGATGAGAAACGCGTCCGTCGAGCCTTGTTCGAAATAAGTGAAGTCAAGTAACTGGTCTCTTCGAAAGCGATGATACTCCCGGAACGGCAGGCCAAGCAGCGCGAGGCTCGCTTAACCATGAAAAAAGTTAAGCCCAAAAACCGTTTTCGTGGCGGCTCGTTGCACACGCTCAATGATTATTACGTATTTTTTGTGTCTTTGGTAGAAAATTTCTTTGGTCTATTCAAAAAGCATTCTGAAGTTGGCACCATAGTGTACCCAAAACTTCACACAAGTTATACGGGGAAGGTTCATCGAATCCTTCGTAGAAAGGCGAATGCAGACTTTCCATGGTGCAGTGAGAATGACATTTTTGAGGGATCCAGAACATCTAGTCCTTTTTAGTATCTGCATTCGTATTGCCTTCTTGCACCTTTTCACCATGGGCTGCAAAGGCATTTGCTGAGTCTCCTCCGATTGACACGGGGACGCACTTTTCGACCCATGGGGAAAAGCGCCGGTTCAGCTACCACCGCCTTGCAGCGTCAACCTCATTTTTTTAGGCGCCGGCGTTGGAAACCCATGATTTCTAGTCATTTACAAAGGATGGGCACGGAATTCAGAGCATGTCCTGAGGAATGTTGTTGCAGATCAAAAAGGGAGTGGTTTCGAACGGAGCCTTGAGTATCGCCCATTGAGGCCACAGGCTATTGACACACCCAAATTGAGTTCGCCGAAACTGTAGGGTTTTCGAAGCTGCTAGTTTATTAGGAAGTTAGTCCAATCAATTTGCACCTTTCCGTGACATGTTGCACGTAGCATTTTGTTTAAGTGAGCGAAATGTCAAGGTCACTGACCATCGCCGATTTAGATTTTATGCCGGTTGTAATAAAAACATAAAACACGAAAACGCACCTTGGCATATTTTGGTGTTCTTCGGTGTTCCTGAATAATGAAAATAACATCTTAAGAGTACATAATGCAAATTCCACCCCATATGATAAGTCGCAGGCGTTTGTTTGCTTTAGACATCTCAGATTTAAGAAATGGGATATTTTTGTTTGGTGAACCTGCTCACAACACATTTTCCCCATGGATCTCATGTTCCATCAAGTGCAATAAAGTTAGGTAACAACACAAACTTGCAGTGGCAACGCGAGGGACATCTGTGGGTGATCCCCTTTCCCAGATGTGCATAACTAGCCTGTAGATAATGCAGTGTTCCCAGAATGCTGTGGGCCTCTTTCCTATTATAACTATGACGTTCTGAACGTGGTGACCACCAACCATAAAGCAGACACCTTGATGACGGTAGCCGTTGTCACTCACCTCGACTACCGATTTTAGCTGCTGGATCCATGTCTATGTGCGACGCTAATTGAGGTTCCCCACATATGCGCGGCAGCCCAATCCAATGAGCAACGACGGACCCTTGTACTCGTATCTATACTAGTTTTCACTCATCTTGAATACTTGTTGTAACTGCTAGGCCCGCGTTTATGTGCAACGTTGATAATGAGACTGCACCTATGCACAGTAACATAATCCTATAGTCAATGACGGTCTTGTATACCGTTAACTATGCGCTTGTCTTCGCTAGCTACAGTAAACATCAGTGCAATATATATGCCGACCGGTAAACCTAAGGCCTCAGCTATGCGTGATAGCCACATCTGACAGCCTGATATACTCACAGCTGTACTCGAAGTCATCTAACTTGGCTATTGATCCTACCTGTTGAGTCAGTGTCCTTGTGCATACATACCTAATCTGATGGCAAACGATGGACCTAATACTCAAAACTGTACGCGATATCGCCTAAATTGACTACTTATTGAAATTGCTAGGCCAGTACCTATATGCGACGCTGTTTAGTAGGCCTCGGCTATGCGAAGTTTGTTGATTTAGCTGCCGACGATGGCCCGTCATACCCATAGGTGTGCGCTCTCCCGATCATGTCTGCTGCTTACATCATCATGGAGAGCATGAAATCAGTGTTAAACACTGATCTTCACTGTCGTGCCTGCCTGCTACCTACAGTAATCACCAAGCCAGTATTTATGCGGGCCGACAGAAACCAGGTTCCAACTATGCGTGACACCTTAACGACCAGCGTGTGCCCGTCATACTCGTAACTGCAGTTAATATCGCCTAAATTGGCTGCTTATCGTAGTTGCAACACCTGAATCTATGTGCAACGCTTAGTGTAGAGCTGACGGTCTTTCATACTATACGCGACGCCGCTTATCTTCGCTACCTACAGTGAACATCAATCCAATATATATGCCGACCTGTAAAAACAAGGACTCAACTATGGGTGATAGCACAATCTGACAGCCTGTTATACTCACAACTGTACTCGAAGTCACCTAACTTGGCTATTTATCGTTATACTCATGCTTACTCGATGCCGTTTATGCTTGCTACCTTCAGTAAACATCGCAACTGTAGTCGACGTGACCTACGTGACTACCTATAGTAACTGCCAGGCCCGCACCCATGCTCGTAGCTAACGATAATGCCCCGGCAACACATAATGGACTAACCCAACGATCACCGGTGGTCATCGCCTGTCAAAATGCAATCACCACCCATTTTGATAGCGCGCTCCCAATTCCTACTCTCGATGGTAACCCCTCGACCAATCCCTCCAATACCCGAAACAATGAGCTGTCGCTCACCTCGGCTACTTAGCGTAACTGCTATTCGCGACGCGGATTATGGGGCCTCACCTATGCACGGCAACGTAATACAATGGCCAACGACGGCGCTCAATACTCATAACTCCACGCGTTGATGATGCGCCCGCCATGAGTTTGCGAAAACACCATTGCCGAATTGCATTTTATTCATTGGCATCACTGATACAAGCTTAGTTGGTAGTCGCTCCATTTTTCATTTTCTTAATATCCACTTCACGGGACAAGGGGCAGGCAATTAACCTTCGGGAACAGCATTTAAGCATCTTGATATAATTGAATTTTATTTGATTGCTTACCTAGTGGTTCATAATCCCCAATACCGAGATGAGGGATAAATGTATAGTCGTTGCGGATTGTCGTGGGTTCATTGATTGGGCATTCGAGGCCTTCGAGTTACAATCACATGAATTCCTCGTCATCATGGTATTCGGATGCGAGGTCTACAAAGCGTATGCTAAGAAATTAGGCTTCAAATTACCGGTCTCCGTCATCTCCGAAATTGGACAAAACAGTTTTATTGCGACTGTCCTACAGGGCAAACTCGGCTTGTCCTCAATAGACCGATCAAAATCAACATCAAACAAGCTCTTTTAGCTGACCGGTAGATAGACTGACCGGCAACTAATGGGACTAGTTTAACTGATACATGTGCACTCACCTGGCGGATGCGCCTGAAGATTTTCTCCACACAGCGTGCAGGGCTCATTGCCGCAACAATAACGGTGATATGGTCAGTTGGCTGGCCACAGAGACCACAGGGAGCAGCGTCGTTTGACATCGAACGCCACCGTGGTTGGTTGCGGTTGCCATCCAACACTAGAGGCTGACTGTCCTGTGCACTAACTGAATTTTGACGCAACATCAGCTGGCTTTGGACAATCAGACGCTTCATGCACCAAGCAGCCTTACGCGGTTCCAGCAGCTTCAGTTTGCCAACCAACCGATCAAGCTGTTTGTGAAGACGTCCGGGAAACGTCTAAAGATTGCTATCTGCTGCGCTCGAGAAAGGCACAGGTGACTACATCTGCCACCCTCCGATTCCACCATTAGCACGCGACCGCACTCTCGAAAATTAGCCATGATGGACGATATGTCATCTAAGAAACCGACTAAAAGGCAACCAACGACCTACATAACAATGTGATTCGACATTTGACGCGATAGTTACGCAGATCTTTGATAGTGATTACCTTTCCAAAGTGGTCGGCGACGTACTGCCGATTCTCCGATGACGGAGCACCGTATTTCAAAAGGGTACAACACTCCTTTAATCCATGATTTCTCAATCGCCGGTTGATGGGTAGCTTGTCAAAAATAAACTTGCTGCGTGGATGGTTGTGCTCCAGGTAGTAGGAAGTAACCCTCAAGCAGTCATGGTAGCGGCGAACGTGGAGCCTTGCCGGACAATCAGTACGACGTGTGCTACAACGTAAACACAACTTACTAGGCGGGACGAATTCCACGTCTTTTGTTTCGTCTGCAGAGATGCCTGCTGCAACGGTAGAAGGCTTTTTCATACAAAGTAGCGAATTGCTGCTCTGTTTGGAGTTTATGCGGACGAAAACAACGAAAGGTTTCGCCTGGTACACTTTCAACGCGAATTGAAATGCACTGAATGAGAAAAAACTTCGACGAGCTAAATTCTCCCCAAAGTCACCCCCCGCATTCACGTGGTCAGCCACAGCAGCCATTTAAAATATGAATATCGCGGGCCTTGAATATCGTGGGGGTTGAGTAGATTTAAACAACTTTCAAAAAACTGCGGCCGTTTGGGAAGATCTCATATGCCCGAAAAACTACCATCAAATGTTAAAAGTTTATGTTAAAGTTTTCCTCCTTCGAACCACGGTTTCAGAGGAACTTTGGGTGTGCATCTACCTCATGGCTCCATTGAGACAGATGCGGATGAAGATTAGGTTAAGCCTACTTCCCCTCCCAATATTATATATAATCAATTGTAAAACTTCCCCTAAATTCCCATAAGATCAGGGCTTGTTGAGAAACAAGCCTTTGGGACTTCTCTAATGCCTTAGAGAAGTCGAAATATACGGCACCACATGCGAGTCCTTCGTTCTTAGCTTGGATTATACTGTCCATAAATACGTGAAGCTGTGTCAGGGAGGAACGGTTCGGGGATTTTTGTTGCGTTGAATACATCAAGTTTCCGGTACTGAGGTGAGTTCCATTGTCGTGCCTCGCTATACGTTCCGTCGCCTTGCACGGTGTGCGAGTGGGGCTAATAGGCCTGTAGCTGCCGGACGTCAGGATGTTACTAGTTTTATGGATTGACAATCGCCTCCTTCAAAGCAGAGGGAAGCCGGCGGACTTACGAAACACCAGGAAGAAATGCTTTGCCAACTTTGACGACGTTTTGATAAGGACTTTTGGATAAAACCTCTCTGGCCTCAACCCGCTGAAAGGGTTTGTCTTAAGAAAGAGTTCGCCAATGTCCTTCCTCGCAGCGGAGACCACGCTGGTTGGAAATAGTTCACAGTTTCGTCTCCAAAGGCTTCTATTTGAGGAGGTTGCCGGGGAGGTACACAAATCTGCACAGTGTTCTCTGTAAGCCTCATATTCTTTAATCGATTCGTTTGCGGGTTCCCCCCCCATAGAGAGTCGAAGTCTCATTTCTATGAATAGCAGATTTTGTATTGTTCGGATGAGGTTTAGAATTTGGTCTGTTTTCGAATATCCTTTTTGCTGATTTCTGGTTCATAGTGGTTCCGTATTTTAACAAAATATTGGCTCATCTTCATTGTCTCCTGAGTTTACGGTTTTGCTTCCAGAGGCGCCGGTTTCCACTTGGTTGCTATTTTGCCTGTCCGACTGAGTGCTGGTTCTTTTCGGACGAACATCACGTTAGCCTCGTTTGTTTACTTGGCAATACTCCTCTGTGTTCTTATAACGGATGCTGGTCAACCAATGAGTCCTTATTAACAATTGATGAGCAAACTGTTTTCCGTTGATGGAAACCAAGTCCACCGATGATTCCAGTTGGTATGCTTGTGACATGGTGGTCGCAGGGACATGTTGAACCCAAGCGGTCTTTTGAACGAGTTTTATCAACGGTAGCGCAGGATGGAATAACACCCAGGAAGCTTTAAGGGAGCTCAAAGCAGCCTCTAGCAAGAGACTGTAAAGCACTTGCTCCAGAAGCGTTGCCTAGTTTTCTGTAGGAAGAACGGGTCATCTTACCTTGGACTTGAGGGTTAGGGTACGCCAAACCGGGAAGAGAAAAGGCCCCGTACAGCGAAACTGGAATATTTGTCGCAGCACAGAAATAACAGGAGTGTTCCTGGGGAGAATGGTCGGGATGGCGGGGGCCGGCTGTGAGTACTAAAAAACTCCATCTGCCCTCCCACCTCTCGGGCCCTATCAGATAATGGAGTAGGTACAGATCGAGAGCTCCGCATCAGAGACGTCTCGTGTGAGCCAAGTTTCTATCAGTACAACTGTTGACAACTGTTCAGAGCAAGTCAGCTGTTGAATATCGCGAAGTTTGTTGAAAAGACTAAAGCAGTTTTTGGATAAGAGCTGCGACGCTCTCTTCTGAGTGAGGAGCACAGTGTTATGCAAATAGAGAGGTGAGCATATTTATTAAATCTGCGGGGTTTTTGTCCAACATCTCAAATCCAGTTTATATAAAACACGCCTGGAGATCCTTAACCTCTTTCAATTAGACAACAGTCGCCCCAGAAAGATCCGATACTCATGTCTTTTTTAGACCGGGCCTTTTGATATCCGGCGGGCGCACGATTAAGAGTTTTTCTCAATCACATTCATGCGCTTGTCGGGCGATGACTCTTCTCGTTTCGCGCGTGGAATGGCCAGGCTCCAGCAGCTCCCAAGGGCTCTGTTGGAACACCGTTCATCTTGCTTTTGGGAGTCTGTTCATATGAAGCCTCGTTCTTAGTAAGAGAGACACCGTGGAACATGAGTGAAGATAAAATATATATAGCGCAAGGAGTGCTGCAGTGTGAAAGTGCTTTTGACCTGTACAGCAAGAATATCAGACTACACAGAAGCCTTTGCGACCGAGGGCGTAACGTATCCGGTGAAATTAGATATCAGAGCACCAACCTTGGAGGGTCGTGTTACCTCGTTACATGGCCGCGGCTCAACGACGGTAGACAGGGTAGGCTAAGTGACAAATTCATCTTGTCACCAATTTGAAGCACTTTTAGGCTTCTGCGGTGAATGTAGGCATTTTTGGGGTGATATGTGGGAGTGTGATGGGAGATGCGCTGGTGAAATCCAACAGGATTTTTTCGGCATGTTCTACCTCAACTCAGTACCCGAGTGCTGTGATCTGCCCACTGAACCCAGTTGGTGACTGATTATAGCGTATTCACCACCACGGCACCAAGCATGAGTGTAGTGACCCCAATGGTGAATCTCCCGTGCAAACGCGGCACAGTTATTTTAGCCCAGTGGTGAAGGTTCTGTGCTGTTAAATTATGGTGATATTCTACGGAGGACACGACGCTTTGTACAGGAAAGGCTGAGGGGAGCGTATATACCTGCAATACGAGAACATAACAGTACGTGTTATACGGGAATATTCTGCAGCATCATGCTGCAGACCCGTTCTCTTCGACCTATGGGGACAGCCAAATTTCAGCGCCCAGCACGAAGCGCGGAGGCTCGGAGAAACAGATTCCGCTAGATGCGTACTTTCCTGCGTGTAACTTCAAGATTGTTGTGGATGCTTACAAGTCGAAGCTCCTCTGTGGAACCTGCAGAAGTTGTAAACTCACAGAAGTATGATGGGCTGTTATTATTATTTACAGGCATTACAACTTTCCGAACTGAATCCGTCTGCCCTATTTCCGTTGGATATGTCGAAAGTTTAGGAAAACGTAGTTGGATATTGCGATTTTCTGGATCTTTTCTACGGGTGTTGGCTTGGGGATCTTGTGGAGCTGAAGAAATTGAGGTTGGTGATGAGGGTGTGCCTAAGGCAGGCAGATTACTGGCCAGAGTTCCGTAGAGTGATAAACAAAACTGATTGGATAAAATTCCCGTTGCCAACGGCAAGAGTGACCATGACAGTTTCGACCCTGATTGGATATGTCATTTGGCCGTCCCAAAGATGGTAAACGCGTAGTTGCCCGATTTCTATATGGCTGGTCATGTATATTTGGGTGTTGAGTCGTGGTTCGTGTGTTGAACTTCACTCACGAGGCTGATTTTGGTCAGGATGTTGCTCCTTTGTTTCTACGTAAACGAATCATGAGGCAGAATCTACTGCCACCGAAATAAGTTGAGAAGGGTGAAATTATGACATTCGGGACAGAATGGATTGAAACCAGAGTTTAAGGCACATGCGGTGCCACATTGCAGTTCTGGTCTGCGGAGCATTATGCCGAGTTTACGCCCACCACGTATTTTCCGCCCACCAGATAGCTACGAAACCTGAAAGTGGATTGTTGTGGTTGACACTAATTTGAAACCATTTGAAGGGGAGTCGAAAGGACGATGTTTTGAAGCTTCGGCAAAGACCAGGTTCATCTGATTTCCTTATTGTGAATTGCAAGTGTCTTGGAGGTTTTGTCTGCAACTCTTCATGTTGGTGCCCTCTTCTGTCCGGTGCTGGTGATGTGAACTACGTGGCCTAGCTCTCCATAGCTACTTTTGCATTAATTCACATAGTGCCGTTTGTGGTGGACTACGAAGAATGTGGCTCCAGCTCGGCTAAGTTATTCAAGTTTCCGGAAAATAATCTGAGGTCCAGTTTGGCACATATGTAACATTTCAACCTTTACCGAAATATTCATGTGCACAGCAGTCTGGTTTCCAATTGAGATTCCTAGCAAACCAGATAAAACTCTCGTTTATGGCATTCTTCAACTAAATGTATAACACAAAAGCTGTCTCAAATTTCAGTTGTTAGGATATCCGAGATATTGTCCACACTGTTGCTGAAATCTTTTCCGCGGCACACGACCTTCCTAACGCTCATCAGGGAGGCACACTCTCCAAGTTTCTGCCAACGTTATGTCCTATTTGAACCAAAACGCCACGGATTTCTCCAAAAGTACCCATTGAATGTAATTTCCGCTTTCGTTGCCAACTGAGCTTAATCTCTCAATCACGGTGTCTTGTAAAGCTGCACGCCTTCATTATCTCGGTTTGAAAGGCCAATCAGATATCTATCCATCCGCTGAGTTTATATCTCAAGAAAGGCATTTTCTTGAAGAGGCAATAATCACTGTTTTTAAAAGCGCTCCCACAGCCCACTGTATTCGAGGTACTGCGTTGCCTTATCCATACGGATGATATTCGGTTTTAACACGTAGAAATCAAACTGATATGCAAGTACATGTGGCTAAAATCTATCCGTCTGGGTTCAATTATACGTAAGGTTGGGGGAATTCTAGTAACTGATCCCAACTAATGAGCCTCAAGAAAAGCAAAACTGGTCGCGGAATATCACAACTCCTCTTCCCCCTGGCTTCATGAAGGCGGTCTGGATGTTGCTGCTGGAATTGTAACATTTATACTTCGGGCTTTGCGTTCAAACCCCGAATACTTTCATTGCTGCCTTGCTGCTCCGCTGACTGCCTAATAAACCTATTCCCAGGCGTCTTTATGGCGGTCATCACTTATAAAGCGTCATTTACCTGCAGCTATCTCGTGACGCTGTATTATCTACCGGCTAGTTATCATACCTTGGAAAGCGGATCATCCACAGAGCTCGCCCTCGCATTGCACGATTCATGCTGTTGTCTCAAAATGTTGCACCTAATGGAAGTTAAGATCCATGGGAAATTGTGTTGCGACCCAGTTCACGGAACAAAATCGTCTCATTTCTTAAATCCGAGTTTAGGGCAGACAAACGTCAATGAACAACCTTCCAGGGTGAAATTAGCTTTAGATATTCTTAATGAACACTGAAGAGCACCAAAATGTACTGAAGTGCGATTTCGTGTTTTATCTGCCGCTGGCTATTCGCAAAATGTGATTGATTTCTCGAAATCTCCGGCATTTTCAGGCTTGCTACTTCATAGTGTAGAATGTCTATGTATAATGTATATGAACCTGCATTGTTGAAGCTCAGTTACAATGGCGGTTTTTTAAGTGAGCGAATGCTCAAGGTCAATTGTAGTATACGGTCTGTCATTTTGATTGATTTATATGTAAGTATTGATGTACAACCTTGCTTACTGCGCTTTGGATCATGAGCTTTGTTTCTGTTTTTCATCCACAGAAATTGTCGTGAACACCTGCCTTCAGAGAATCACTGTCCCCTGGTGCTTCCGTAGCGTGCATATTACATAATTGGCGACCACGCCAGGATGGTCACCACACACAGAGTAGACCTACCACAGCGATCCTGGCTTTACATATGTGCATACAGGCCTCAGAGCTAGCACGTTGTTCATTCACACACGGTAGACGCAGCCCCAGATGCAGCAACCTCTGCACACGCTCACCAGCTTAACGCACCACACCACTAGCACCGGCCGGTTCCCCGTTGGCTATTCCCAAAATGAGATTGCTTTCTCTAAATCTACGGCATTTTCAGACTTGCCACACTTGCCAATTAATAGTGTAGAATGTCTATGTATGATGTATATGTCCCTGTATTATTGAAACTCCTTTACTATGGCGATTTGTTTAAGTCAGCGAAATCTCAAGGTCAATAAACACCACAGAATGTGAGTAAGTTACCTGTAACGCATTTGAAGCCCGACTGTACCTGATTGTATGCCTATGATATGACATTATGTGTGCCTCTCCCTCCCTCTCTTCCCCTATTACAGGTACCACGGACGAGGCACCACGGGCCCTGGACAGGGAAGAGTATCCCGCTTGTACACCCCCTCATTCCGGTTTCGGTTCGGGTTAATACACGTGAGTTGTTGCTACACTCCGGTCTTCTTCACTGTACCACCCGACCTGTGCGCATGTGTGCTGTGTATACTGTGTGGATTCATTAATACCAGTCCGTATCTCTGCACATTTCAGAACTGACGTGTGCCGTCCTCTCGAACGTCGAATACCGCTTACTTCCCGACACCTAATGTAGTATACGGTGTCTGTCATTTTGATTGATTCATATGTAAGTATTGGTGATGTACAACCTTGCCTAATAGGCTTTGGATCATGAGCTTTGTTTCTGTTTTCCATCCACAGAAATTGTCGTGAACACCTGTCTTCGGAGAATCACTGTCCCCTGGTGCTTCCATAGCGTGCATATTACACTAATGACAAAAAATCGCGAATAGTGAAAAAGGTTGACTCACATACAATGGACGTAACTTTTAGGTATTTTGACACGGGAACAAATTTCCTCACCATTCTAGAATCCAAATGGCCTTTGGAGATGCAACATATGCGTAGGCGCATTCGTGGAAACAAATTTTTGTCGATGATTCTTTGTTGCCAGTAAAAATTCCGTAGTGCACGCTAATTATTTGCTAAAAATCATGCACGTTTGCTGGCAAAAACCAGAGTTTTTCATTATAGGTTGCGAACTATGCTAGAAAGACCCCGAGGTTTATCGATCTTAACCGACGCACACCACTAACATGTGGCTAGGGGTACATGATGCCTAACTAACTAGCCACATAGAGCCTACGTCGATAATACCAGACAGCTGAACGATCTTAACCGACGTTTTTCCGGTGGGTTGTAATCCGACGGTCATCGTTGGTGGATTGGAAAGCAAGCTAAGAAAAAGTTAAAGATGAATAGTTCTTACTGCTCGGAACGGACTGATCTCGAAATACAGAGAACAGGCGTACGCAGGGGAGCCACATCGCCTGGTAGAAAGGACATGTGCATTCTCCAGCACAGGTGTCGACAGTCTGGGAGCATCTGGGTGTTTGCACCACAAACTATAAGTTAGTTTACGTAGCGCGACCTCACCTTGTTTGTTCCGACACTTTCATACAGCAGCCGCGGTGGTCGCGGACCCAAGTGCCTCAAAACGAGAGAGCATGCATATGTCGTCATTCGACAGACTACGTTTAGAACGTAGGCGTCACACTCCAGGATTTGCCGCCTGTCGCAGTGGTACGACGTATGCATCTCAAACTCCCACATGAGCCACTCGGCGTGCCGGGACACCTTTTGAATGGCATGCTCCAACGTGTCGGAGTGGTGCACCCGATCTTTAAGTCGCCCGTTTGCATTCTCCAGTCAGTTGTTGGTCAAATTACCGAAATGAACCATTCCGGACTGTGCGTGTATGGCCCATTTTCGGGTGATGTACAACCAGCGAGCCGTAAGATAGGAGAGAAATCGGGGATCGGTTCGGCGCAGAAGCTGTAGATCTTGTCGGAATCTGTGTGCTTGTAATATGATGAACATAAAACCTACTGTACAGCATTGTCCAGGCGAGCCATGCGGTGAAATATGTGCCGGCTGTTCGCAGAATGTGTCTGTGACCATAAATACATGGATATTAAATGATACATACGTGCTTCCTGATGGCTTTGCGGACGTGAAAGTAGCAAAGCATAATGTCACAGCCGAACACTACTCTTGCCGCACGCATTTGCGCCGCCAACTTGTCCATTACGAAGGTCCTGACCGGATACGCTTCGCCCATCATTTCTTTGAACAAGCCGAACAGTTTACGCATGGGAGCAAACTGCTCGCTCTCTACGAACGCATACATAACCGGACGCCCGGTTCCCATGCCGTCCGTTATCAAGAATGTGTATAGTTTATATCTAAATACCGAATATTAGATGCTTTAAAAAAACTTACCCAAGGCGGTTTGTTGCATGTGTCCCGTCCACATTCACTACGTCGGGAAAGCGTCGGAATAACGCTATCTGCTGCCATCGGGAGAAACATATGTGGCTATAGTGACCTTCCTCTCCCTGACACACAAGAACGCGTCCGGTCTCCCGAAGTTTTGCCAGGACCGAAGGCATATCATCTGCTACATTAAAACCCAACCATTAGGCACCTACTCAACATAGCCGGTCGACACTTCCGGCGGTAGTTGTGTATATCCTTAGTTGTAAGAATCTTTCCGAATTCATCCGCCACAAACTGCCGCACCTCAGATGACGGCGTTCCATATCTCAGCAGGGCCTGGCATGTGCCCAACTCGTCTTCGGTTAAGCGTCGATTGACTGGAAGCCGATCGTAAAGAAACTTTGACAGTTTGTGGTTGTGTTCCAGAAAATAAGACGTCACTGCCAGTTGGTTCCTTTGCCTCCGTAGACAAAACCGCACTGGGCAGCTGGTGCTTCGCGTACTTTTTTTTTTAGAAATTACGCTCGGCTTACTAGCTTCTTCGGATTCCACGGCTTTCCGTTTTTCTTGGAGGGCGCCTGCTGCATTTGTAGTACACCCATTCGTAACGCAAAATAGTGTTGGTGCTTCGATTACTGGATGAACGCACAAATATCACAAAGTTATCCTTCATGTATTGATTTAAGGTCTTCTCAAATGCCGTGAAGGATGAAAACGATACACCCACAAATTTCTCAACGAAAGCCACTTCCGAAGCCATAGCAGACGAAGTTCAAAGCCGAATGTGCGCCAATAATTTTCAAAAGAGATCGATCAAAACAAATCGCAAAAAAGTGACGGCAGATGAGGGTGATTTTTGGGACTGAGCACACATGCAAAGAAGTGCAACATTTTGACGTTAAAGTTTTTATTTCGCCCACAGGGGTTTTGCAGAAAAATGCATTGTGCGTCGAGGGCGCGGAGTTTTATCTCGCGTAGACGGTAACAAAATGCGAATCAGTGATGGTCCGCGACACTATTTCACGTACTTAAACTAAATGCTACGAGCAACATGCCGCCGGAAGGTACAAATGGATAAGACCATCTCCCCAGTAAATTCACAACTTCTAAAACCCTATAGCTTTGGTGAAGATAATTTGGTTGTGCTCCCAGTCAGCGGCGATAATACCTACTGGTTATGCAATTGTCACTTTTCCGCGAAATTCCCTGTACCCACAAAACCTGCCGGTCGTTCTTTCCGAACTTTGGATTTATGCCTGCCCACGGGTTTGAAGTAAACACTGTAATAATAATAAGTGTCATTATTATGAATGTTTTTGCCTGGCCCGGCATAGGCATGCTTACCTAACGTTTATTCACGCGTTTCAGGTGTCGTATTTCTTGGGGCCGAATACCAAGTCGGCAGCAGCTACAAGAAATAACGCAGTACGAATAGGCCATTAGAGATGACCTCGTATAAGTGCGGTTCTAAGTGATTTTCACAGCTGCAGTGTCTGGCTTATAGAGCACTGCTCTTAGCTAGCAGCTACCTGTCCCGGGATACCCCACCCAACGGGATACTCCAACATACCAGCTCATATCTTCCGCTTATTTCAGGATGTCAATATCTCGATGAACACGGTGCCCTAGGATGGCTGTAGACTTCCCGCGAGGAACACTCAGAGGATTGATGAAATTTAACTTTTCATATCGTCTAAGCTGTATCAGTTTCTTCTTCCAGCGCAAGCTGATGGAAGCGTGTTGGCAATTTGATCGGTGTAGGTTATACCTAGTCAGTTGGTCAGCCATCGTGGATCCACATCCCCATATTAGTCGAGTGCGTCATCTAGGCTCAATTAGCATTCGCTACTATTGACGTAGCTCACACCTAGCCAGGTGATTAGGAATTGTGGAGGCCTGACCATCTTTTCGTCATGTGAATCAGGTAAGTTCTCATTGCTGTATTTTGCGGACAACGATAGCCCCCCCACTCAATGGTATATGATGTGGTGGGTATCTCATCATGTATATTTCTGGCGGCAAACTCTTTGGCAAATCTCCAAAAACGGCTATATAAAGCCTGGTTTGATTCGCCATTTGCAATAGTGAACCTACCACCAGAGATCCAGGTAAATACGGAAAAACAGTGATGTATGCGGTACAAAAATGGGTCAATTGGTTCCACGCACTACTGGAACACAGTATTCAAGACCCAATCGGAAATGTGATTTTCTGGAATTACTAACATTACGTTGTCCCGATAGAGGGAACAAGAGGCCGCGATTCCTCTCAAGAATATTACTAAGACATGGACAAGTAGCTGAATCTTCGCTCTGATTGCACAAAAACAAGCTTTTTGGCATTGTCTCTGTACCCGTTGTGGTCAATTGTGCTTACTTTTGTACAGCCGAATTCATCAACAAGCGCGAGTGATATTCACTTTGACCATTTCATTGCGAGAGAGCAGTCCACAGTTGAACTGAGTGTGGTTGGTTAAGGACGGTCTTCCCCTTGAAGCCTTATGTTTACGGAACACATTCGCCAAAGACCAGCGTTTAGATGTTACACTTATTACCTTACTTTTCTGATACCTGAAATCAGTTGCTGTTAAATCGACTTAAGAAGAGTAGAGAGTAGCTTTTACGTTTTTAACACGCTGGACGTAAGTGATAAGAGCAGAAGCTCACGGAACTGGTTGACGGGATATTTGAGCAGCACTATCGTATTCTGAATACATGGAAAACTTCCTTACAGCGTGAAGAATACTGAAGATACCCAAATAGGGCAGTTGATAATTAAACTTTGCCATAAAAACTGCTGATTATCTGATCCCCGAGTATGAAAAAGAACTAACACAACTCAATAGTGTACATTCATTAAGCTAACTAATTTGAAAATCAACCAAGACTGATTATAATCCAGCAACTCTCAACCCAGCAAGATCATAAGAACACCTTATTTGAAGCTAAAGGGTCGCAAATGGCTTTAGATGAAATAGTCAAGTTAAATGCAGGAGTAAGTCTGGGCCAGAAGTTTAGTTTAATCCGGCAACCTAGCTGTATACGGACTAGTAGTTGAACGGCCTATGCACATTTGGAGAATAGTCTACTTCAAGGACTGAATATTTTTTGAAATCCATTACTTTGAGTTGTTCCAGACCAAGATGTCCAGCCGATCAGTTACGAGAATTTCATAGATCAGCTAGTCCACACACAGGTTAGAAGAGACTTCGGACTCTTCTGCTGATTAGGAAGAGCATTTATTTCATACTGATAATGAAACTTGCTTCAATATTAGGTGTACATCAGAAGAAAGCGTACATTATGTGAACTGCATTCGTACGCAGTTGCACAACAAAAAGCCATCCAGCCACAAACATCCTATAAGGTGACAAAAGGCTCTTGGTCCTCGTGGGAAACCGGTTGTGTCGAATGACTCGCACAGGATGGTGGTAACCCATGTTGTTCTCTTTCCTTTGAAATGTCATTGACAGCCGGAGCCAGAGGTGCTTCACACTGAACGGGAGGTTGTGTGATAGTTATAGTGGAGGGTATATCTGCGGAAGAATTGGGATGGATGTGGGAGTCCACATCACGGACATCGCAATCAGCCGGAAGTGAATGATCGTAGTCAGTGTCGGAACGGCGGATTCTAGAGTATTGCTGGAGCAACGGATTTGTTTCTGAATCAACACCACAAAGCAAACTTCCATCTGCATCATTAAAAGCGTCCGAATAACGGTGATGTGAGGAAACTGCGTGACGGCGATGGGGACTCAGGAAGCGAACGGTATATCCTAAGACAATATAAGGAAGGAAAAGCAAGTGAGAGTAGATGACAAACTGCTACCTATCGCAAGCCTTACAGCTAGTTTTGGAGTCAATATGGGTAGAAAGCAGCGAGTTACCAAAATAATAATTTTTTTAGCCTAACATCACTTTCGTTTGAACAATCCTCTTTCTATCCTGGTACAGTCATTCTGGCGAGTCCATGCCACAGGAGGAAGCCCCGGTCTCAAAATTAGACTTCATTGACAGTGCACATCCTCAACCTTGCCGGGGCATGAACTCTGGACATCTGAGGTGAGCGTGTTACCACCACCCCAGCAGCGCAAGTTGGACGCACCTGAATTATCGCGTTTAAAGTGGTGAACCCGTTTAGTCCTGAAATGATTGGTTCGCTCGGCATCTAAAACGGCGACGTGGAAACTGGCCTGACTGTGACGATCGACTTACCTTTCTGTCAAAACTTCCCAGTCAGGTAAAGTTAGAAGCACTTGAAACCTACCGGACACACAAGCGGCAAGAAGAACGTAGTTTTCTCGAAGGAAACTGTTCACAAGTTTGCCGAAAACTCTTCGACAGTTCACAGTAGGTTTCGCCATTCGTGGTGCCGAAAACCTTCGACAGTTCACAGTAGGTTTCGCCATTCGTGGACTGTAGACGTTTTCAGGAAGCTTGTGAGTAGTTTACTCACAGAAAATATGTGATATATCGAATACCACGGAAACGAAACATGAGGAGGCCTTTGTACAGCACATTCAAGTTAAAAAAATTCATAGAAAATATATTCTGCTGGGATTCAAAAGAGCCTCCCACGAAGATCAAATTGGTGGGAAAATGAGTGTGTTCAAGGCAGAGTTGTTACAAATTTGAAAAGAGTTAAAAATTAGGGATCTGGCAACGCGTGCGGAATCCAACACTGAAATACTCCGTTAACTTCACTCATGGTGATGGATATCCAAAGATAACGGTCCCAGAGCGAATAAGCCTACATATTCTGCACAGGCACATTAAATCCTTATTGATGCAGGACGAGCGGGAGACAAGAACCCACACTTTCCAGATCCAAAATGTGTGGATTCGGCTAGTGTGCAATTCAACAGTTGAAGATGAACCTCGGGAACGGTTCTATTGATGAAGACGCATCTAGACATGTGCCTGAACCGAAGGGAGACTCAGTTATGTCTCACTAAAATACCGTGGTTCGTTTTGCTGGCAAGGGACCAAGTCTGGACAGAAGGAAAATGTGTGACATTGGACTGACGCAGTAAGCTCTCCCCTAAAATGGTGCCTAAAAATACACTTAGGTGTTCAAATACACAAGTGCAGAAAATCGTCCAGGAGATCCACCACCGATTTACCACGGTCTGCACCACTTTTACCTGGAAGAAAGATCGTAAACTGCGACTGCGTGCGGACTAGCCCCGCGACGGTGATACAACAAGAAGGACCTTCCACAGGTGACCACGCATTAACGACGTTAGCATTTCTGAGTAGCCCGCATGGTCTACCTCCGTGAATACCGGCGAGTACAAGTAGAACAGGACGACCAGAGAGTAGCATCCAAACTCCCCGTTGAACCAGGTTCAGGTGAGCGAAATCCTTTAAGGGCTAATGTAAACAAACTTGAGGGATATGATTTCAGCACGCCACCGTTTTATATGAACACATTAAACAGCACATTACTAATCTCCACAGACGAAAACCCAAGCCGAACTCAAGTATTTATTTCTCAAACATGATGTAGTTTTGTCGTGATGTATTCTAAACGCTAAGAGGGTTTGGATGAATATGTCAAGTTTGTGTTCCGAGCTATAATCTGCAGTCATCGGCAGTGCGATATAATTCAAGACCGGAAAGCCATTGGATATTCAATTTTCGCGAACCCTTGCTTTCTTCCGGATACACTGGAAGTGGGGCTATTTGAACCTGGGCAGCTACTGAATACGTAGGTAATTCATAACCAGATTGCCAAAGTTTCGGGAAAACCACCCAACACCGTATTTGGGTGCGAAAGGCTGCTACAGTTCAAACAAGTTAGATGCTATAATGCATGCGAAACTCTTACAATTATGAATCTTAGGGCAGGTGTTTCTACACTTTCTGGTCATGTCCGTCGTGTTATCAACCGCGAATTATGTTCACTAACGAACTGAGATCCCGACATGGGTTGATAGCAATTACGTCACTCCATTCAAATACTTTGGTGGCAGATGGCTCTCGCTGCCACCCGAGTGTGTACTACCGCCCAAGCTTACGAGAACGCTATGGGGTTCACAAGTGAAAGCCCACCGTTTGGATTGCTGCTTTGTGCATTTGGGTTTATTTTGACCTCAAGCTGTGCATGCATTATATTGAAATACCCTGTTTAAACAGCCGTTGTGTGTGCGTTACTACATGTATTCCAAGTATACATAGCCCAAGCGTAGGGAAGCCCTATGTGGTAAATCAATGATGCCCCTGGTTTTTGGGCCGTCGTTTTCGTTTTCTGCCCGCCTTGCCTCAGCCAGTTGTTCATTTCAGGCACTTTGTTCTGCGTTACGGATGACATGGATTAGCTGCATCGTCCCCTAGCAAGAAACGCGTATATTCCCCGGTCATCGAATTTCTTAGACGACTTCATGCGATGGAGATCGCCTAGGGTGTCTTGGACCGGTGATAACCATAAGTGCACATTAGACTCTGCGCAACAGGTCATAGGCATTTCCAGTATGAGCTGCTGATCCGGCTCGCCAAACATAGTGGGTATGTATGGTCGAAGTACTACTAGTGTAACGGTAGATACTACTGATTAGGCAAGCGAGTAGTATGCTTTCTCGTAAATCCTCTTTGTCTCTTGAAAAGTGAGATCTATTACGGAATTTGTGGAGTCGCTTTTTAGCATTTGCTTGCACTTAGTAACAGTCGATGAATATCCAGGAAAGTTTAGGAGGACGCATTCAAGGAGAAAATGGATATTCAGTGTTTGTAAACAAAATGCGCATGAGAGTTTTGCTTCCCTGTCCAACAGTCTGTAACTGTTCAGTTGGTGTCTTCTAATGAACAAATCCGTAGCGAAGGCCTTTTTTTTACTACAAACAAAAACCTCAAGACCATGTATGTTTAGTCTAGACTACGGTCTCTTGAGGCCAGTATTCACACCATCGCTTCGAGAGTAGGCATCCGGTTGGAGGGAGGGGTTGGTGGTATAAAAACCCATATTAATTCAAGTAGAACATACGGTTAACGTAAACTCAAGGACTATGCCTAAGAAGGGCGAACACAGTCGTGGACTGTCTGAATTTACAGCAGCCTCATGACTAGTGCATTACGTCTATATACTCTATACTATACCTCTTTATTGCAGGTAAAATCGTTGGTCCTACTCAGTCGACCGATAACCGTGGACTCCTGGAGCGCCTAAATACTGCTGGATCAAGTTGATAAATAAATCGACCATTCTGCGAGACACGTCATTTCGATCACAATAGAACTGAATACATACGGCAGCAAAATGGTGGCCCAGGACAAAAAACAGTCAGCTGATCACGCACATCCCACTGGACCCCATGCCAGACAGGAAAGCATATGAGAATACGATGTTGGCCTTAGCCTGTCCGAACACACCGAAAAATGCTCGATTCCCATCCTGAGGAATCTATCAATGTCTTACACCACAGCGTGTGATATTGAAGACCGAGCCTATGTGATTGTGATTAGCGCAGACGCCCCAAAAGACAACAAATATAAGACCTACACTAGAGTTGATACTCTCATTCGATCGGATAGATGAATATATATGGTGCAAGAACTTGAACAAAGTGTGGAACCGAGTAAAAAAGTGTCGACTGGACAGCAGTGCATAGACTGCTCCGAATAGATGTGAAGCCCTACTGCAGAGGCTGGATGGTATTTCACTGTGACATGACCCGTGTGATCCATTGAGCTGCATGGGAAGGTTTCGCTATGACATATGCAGTTTCTCATCCCAGGCTAACCAATGAAAACAGGTCTGAAGAACACAGATTCCTGGTCCGACAGGTTGGGGGTTGGACCAGGCATGGTGACCTATTTCTCAAAAATATGTACCACTGCAGTAGTAGTATCGCATTGAAAAAACCTTATCAAGGTGACAACTGGATGACCCGGATATCAGTCTGGGTGAGCTAAGAGTTCAGCAACTTAATCATCCTTTGGTTTAAGCGTGTTGATCAATTTTGACAACACGATCCAGCTGATGTCTCTGCACGAGTTGCAACCAGTCCACACGAGAACCTCGTGGGGTGGGACTGTGACAATTGCTGCAAATCGAAAGCTGGCTTAGTGGCTCACGTCTATGGAAGTGTTGACACGAAAGTGGTCACCCAGTTGGTCAGAGCTGATTGTTTCCGACAGAGATTGACCTCAGTCATAACCGCCGGCACTATCAGTCTGGTGAGCTAAGAGTTCAGCAACTTAATCATCCTTTGGTTTAAGCGTGTTGATCAATTTTGACAACACGATCCAGCTGATGTCTCTGCACGAGTTGCAACCAGTCCACACGAGAACCTCGTGGGGTGGGACTGTGACAATTGCTGCAAATCGAAAGCTGGCTTAGTGGCTCACGTCTATGGAAGTGTTGACACGAAAGTGGTCACCCAGTTGGTCAGAGCTGATTGTTTCCGACAGAGATTGACCTCAGTCATAACCGCCGGCACACACCCCACCCAGATAAGGTTAGCCGAGTGAAGAATTCCGGCATCCATCGGTCCCAACACGAGTCACAACCACACTTTCGCTTGTCTAACAGTCTACATCCGTCTTGTAACACGCAAACAGCGCTAAACAATAGTTTCCTGGTCGACTGGCTAACCCGATCAAAACCAGGTTACATGTGCTTAACTGATAAGGACAGCTGGACGAAGCGTAATCTAGTAGCACTGACGATACTACAATCGTCAAACTCTGAAGACTATAGCGTGTGATCAAAACAAACAGTGGTTTGTACCGTGTGACTCTTAGAATCCCATTTGAACAGTTCGCTCGCTAGTATTGA